ATAAAAACATCCTGTCTGTCTCCTCACTGTCCGATCTGCTGCTTCGGCTTCACACTGCAAAGAACAAATCTAAACCAGGGGGAAAACGCACTACCTCCCCTGTTCCAAATAAAAAAACACAGAACCCTACCCAAAGCAAAACAATACGTTTGACAACCCTCCCCTATTTTGCACAACTTCGATATAAAGTGTTTTTTCTCAAATTGCCGGGATTTCACGTGTCCTATTTACATCAGTACACTCATAACAACCTAAGCATGAATAAACTTCTATTCCATCAATGACGCCACAAGTAGCAAATTAGCCATTCCATTTTCTGTTAACCAAATTCGACACTCATTGACCTCCATACAAAACTCATCGCTTGGTGAGTGAAAAAAACGAAACACTGCCACTTGCTGGAGAAGACAGATATTAGGTCCAGTTATCCCTCTCGCTTCGCCTCTTCCTCTCTGGTGCCAAAGATGATGGATATACTGACAAGATGCATGTCTCTCTCCCTAACAATAGGAGTCGTTGTCCACAAAGCGGCACCGCGGGCTATCTAGCTCCCGTCTATCCTTTATTTGGATTGGTGGATTCATCTCATTGTTGTAATCCTTTTTTGAATATTCGATGTGGGTTGTTGACGTCAACCGCTTGTATTCAATGGAGAGAGACGCTATGCTCCTAGCCTCATGTCATGAATATGCATAGCCATCTCGAGACAACTCCAATATAAAGTTGCCGGGAGGTCACGTGTCCTACTTAGATCAGTACACTCATAACAACTTAAGCATTAAGAAACTTCTATTAGATCAATGAAGCCACGTGTAGCACGGTAGGACCCGTGTAGCTCAGTTGGTAGAGCATGGCGTTTGCAACGCCAGGGTTTGTGGGTTCGATTCCCACGGGGGTCCGGTATCCACTCACTAACTGTAAGTCGCTCTGGATAAGAGCGTCTGCTAAATGACTGAAATGTAATGTAGTAAATAAGCCATAACACTCATTGACCTCCATGAAAAACTCCTCACTTGGTGTGCGAGAAAAAAAAGCCACCTGCTGGAGGGAGAAAGATTTTCTACCAAGTTGGGCCTCTCTTCTTCTTCTTCTTCTCTGCTGGTGTACATGTGGAAGCATGCCATGCTCAACTATGGTGGGATGGCTCGAGTTTGAAGTGGAAGGAGTGCAGGGCTTAGCATATCTCACAAGGAGGCTAAAAATAGATTTAGGCTTGGAAAAGTTTAATATTTTCAGAAGGAATCGGGTAATTGGTTTAGGGATGAGGATTGGAGGGAAAGAGAGAGAAGGTTGAAAAGACTGAGGGAGGCAGAGGATGGGTTTGAATCTGTTGAAGCTAACAATAACAAGGGAGGGGGTATGTTGAGGAAGATTGGTGTTGGATCCCGATTGACATGGTTATGATAAAGATAAGTTTGGTCCAGTGGGAGGGAGATTTTTGATGAGGGTGGAACCAGGCCTTTTGGCTGATCCATGATGGGGTGGTTTCAGGTTGGGTGGAAAACATGGTGGGTGCTGTTGAGTCGGTGAAGGTAACCCGAAGTGGACTTGTGATGTTTGTTTGTGTTTCTTCAGATCAGAGGGAGCAGGCGCTCGTTGCAACGCAACTTGGGGAAAGTATCTTACTTTGCGCTAAGGTACAGGGCACCATTGAAAGAAGTGATTTCTGGGGTAGTGTTAAGTGTGGAGGTGGAGCAATTTAAGTAGAAGAATCCTAGTGTTCGTTCCGCCCGCCGTTCGGTGCGACGCAGATCCGGTTGGGAGCGTGGTGAAACAGAGGTGACACAGTCTGTTCTTTTGAGCTTTGATTCAGAGTCTTTACCTGTCAAAGTAATGTTAGGATATATGAGTTTTGCCGTTAGAGCTTTTGTGCCGAATACACTGCGGTGTTATAGGTGTCACATTTATGGGCATGTCACAGCAGTATGTAGGAGGTAGATTCCAAGATGTGGGAAGTGTGCAGGAGGACATGGGACAGACAAATGTTTAGTTTCGGTGGGAAAAGTTGTGTGTGTCAACTGCGAGAGAGGCAGGTTGAGGTGGCCAGGGTCAGAGAAGTGCAGAAGATGCCGTATGCTGAGGAAGTGAAGATAGTGGAGGAGGGTGGATCAAGGGTGAGGGATTCTGAGAGGAACCCTGTGAATAGTAGATCTGTGCCAGAACACAGGGATAGGCCAATGAGTGATATATGTTTCAGTAAGGTTGGCTTCTTAGCGTTCATAGCAATGGTTACCAACTGTGCCATAGAGATGGAATGTCACTCCTCGATCACACCGACAGCGTCATTGTGCAAAATGGTACGCAGCATCATCTGGATATATGTGCAACAAAAGTTCAACATTCACCTTCTGCTACCATTTCTGTCAAGCTGTCTACGCATACAGTTTGATGCATACATTCGAGAAATCCAAGGTATGTACCACACAGAACGCACTGCAACTGCCTCTGCAACGCAATGCTGCAAGGCAAACACTGCGTTCCATTGGAAATGAATGTACCTCTTTGGTACCAAAACGCAATAACGCTGTTGGTGTGATCGAGGCGTAAGTCACAGAAAATAGATGTTGTGGTGGCAGCTGCAGAGAAGTACCTGGTGGTACAAGATTTGACTTCGGAAGAGTTACAGGGTGTGTTGAGTGGTAGTGTGTCCCTCCTCTCAGGTCAGTGGCCTGGGGTAGAATCAGATAGGGTTAAAGTAGTGGAATAAGTTGGTGGGTTTTAATGAGTGTAGGGTTAGATGGTAGGGTAATTAAACATTTGTATTACATTTTTCAGGTTTCCCATGTTGTATCACAAAGTGTAATGGGTTTTACTGTGTTAAGTTGGGGGCAGTAATGCAACATATTGGATGTCAACCGCTGTTAACTTCCACCGAAGAAGAAGAAGAACAACAACAACTACAATGGCGTCGCGAGTCCGGGCTCGAGCACTGAAGTGCAGACTGCACTGTGTGCGCGCGAGGATGACAGTCGCCATTTTATTTTGAAAAATCTAACCGAACTGGAAGGAGAGAAACCCTTTTAATTCATCAAGTTTGGGCGCAGAAACCAATAGGAATGAACATCACACATACATTTTAGGAACCATGGTAAGTTTTAAAAAGTTTTTTTTTTAACAATCTGTTGTAAAGAATCTGCGATATTTCTTCAAATGAAGACATTAGTAAGCTAGCATATGTGCAACTAGCCGTTAGGCGTCATAGCTAACGTTCGCTAAGGAAAGACAAACTAGCTAACGTGTTAGCTATGTTAGATGGTCCCATGTCAAAAAGCAAGAGTTGGTTTGCTAGTGAAAATGTCCATTAACATTTAACACAGTTAACTAACGGTAATGATTTCTATCCCGATGGTGCACATTGACAACGACATGTTCATGACAACGTCTGATATAGTTAACGTTAGCTAGTTAACTACTAGTAACGTTAGAGTAGCTTTGCTAGTTAACGTTAGCGCTACCTGGCATACATGGCTAGGTCATCTAGCTAGCCAGTTAGTTAATGGTAGCTACATTTAGCTAATTAGTTAGCTAGGCATCAAGTTAACGTAGCTACTACTAGATATTTTGTTGACAATTTATTTCCAAGGACAATAACATAATTGCTCGCTACTAAATTGATCAGCGAGCTAACGTTAGCGTTTACTGTATATAATTGTTGGATTTGCAACGGTAACATATTAACCAGCCAGCTACAGAAAAACAGCCTTACATTACGGCCTTCTGCGAGTTAACGTTACTGTTAGCTAGCTAACGTTACTGTTTGTATCCTGGCTGACGTTGGTCACATCTAGCTAAGTTAGCTAACTAGTTGGTGTTCGCTGCAAACTGTGCTTAGCTACCGTTAGTTGGCTAGCTCTTTGTCTAAATGGGTAAGTTAGCATGTGACTGTCAGGTGGTTAACGTTAACAAATTATACTTCTTAGTGTGTGGTCAGGTCAATTCTGCAGTTAGCAATCATGGTTACCGTTGGTATTATTAGCTAACGTTAACGTGAGCCAAGTTATGTTGCCCAAGATACCTAGCGGTAGTTAACTGTTAACTGGCAAAGTAAGGTTAGCTAACGTTAACCCATAAGTTGGCTACGTGGACGGTTACGGAAAATAAATTAAATAGTTTTTAGATGGCACACACAGGCTACCGTTAACTTAGCTAGCTAGTTGCCGTTAGTATTGTCTCACAAACGTAGTTAGCTACAGTAGCTAACTATTTGCATTATTATTGCTAGGACACTGAAAACCTATCTAACGTTTGTAATTAATTTAACTAGCATTAGCTAGCCAAATAACGTAAACAAATTCACAAAACGATTGTAGCTTGTTTATTCCTTGATTAACCACGCGCTGCCAGTGTAGAACATAAATATAGTTAATCATCCGCATTAATATCAGCTCACACGATGCTGATTGAACTGGGAGTAGTGGGTGTGCTGAAGTCAAGGCCCGACTCTCGTGACACTGATACTAGAGCGACGTTGGGAAAGAGTTTTGGCTAACGTTTATCATTTGTTTGGGCAAACTCGGTCATGGTGACTTACCTGTCTGTTTCAAGGTAGCTAGCTAGCTGTGTTTAGTATTGCGCAGGCGTATGAATCAGGATTACTCCAGGTGAGTAGTAGGCCCAATGGGGTTTATTACCCATGGCAGTTGTACATCGTTGTGCACTTTTGGTATTTACAAACCCAGTTGATCATATAACTGTGTGTAGTATTTGCTCGATTATTTTAGACTACTTTACCACACATTTTCTATATGTAGAACCGTATTGCAGATTGCAGCTGTATTAACTACTTTCCTCTCTTGGCGATTTTCAGATGCTGAACTTGATGTTGCACTGAGGGACTTTACCTTGTATCAAGATCAACTGACAGAAGAAGCTTGTTTTAAAACATACATTTTTCACACCTGGGGGGGGGGGGGCAGAAGTATCTTATCACTGAAGTGACTAAAGGGGAATAATGGTGATTTTGCGCCGGGCACGGCCGCCTGCTTCCGCCCCAACCAGCAATGAATCTTGACTCGCTCTCGCTGGCTTTGTCTCAAATCAGCTACCTGGTGGACAATTTATCTAAGAAAAACTACAGAGCCAGCCAGCAGGAAATACAGCATGTGAGTAGCATGCAGTATTATGCTCACAAATGATGTTTTTTTTTAATGTCATTTTCTATTGTTGTGTTTCCAGTTTTGTTGTTGGGACACTACAAAGCAGTACACATTTTCACCAATGTAGAGCTTTGCAGGGCTATAGCTAAGTAGATTTTATGATGTAGATAGACATCTAAAAATGTATCCCATTTCAGAAATTATTGTAAAACCAATATCATTCTGTGGTTCAGAATTGCATTAGGTCTGAGTTATCTTGACAATAATATTTTGGCTGTGCCGGCCAACCTGTTGTGTTCTTTTGGCGAATGCTTATTCTGTCCCAACAGATTGTGAATCGTCACGGCCCTGAGGCGGACAGGCATTTATTACGCTGTCTCTTCTCCCATGTGGATTTCAGTGGTGATGGTAAAAGCAGTGGCAAAGATTTCCATCAGGTAATATTTTTATTAGTAATACTTATTACACCAATGGCTTGACTTCAACTGATTTTAGCAATGAGGATTAATGGTCTCTTACGAACCGGAAAATGCTTAGATATCACAGCACTAGGAATTTGTGAACTCTGAACGCACCACTGTGTAGGTTTCCTAATTGTCATTGATATTGTTAGTTTGTCTTGCCTTATTGTTTTAGAAAGTGACTTTGCTTTCCTATTTTGTCCTTAACCTATTTTATGTCCCCTCCCTTTTACCTTTGTTTGTCCACTTGCCCAATATACAGTTTCTGATCCAGGAGTGTGTTTCACTGATTTCAAAGCCTAATTTTATTTCAACACTCTGCTACACCATCGACAATCCTTTGCACTACCAGAAGGTAGGAGGCATATGTGCTTATTTTCTTACCCACCTTTGTAAAATATTTCTACAATTCAGAAAGAAAATGTGTACATTTTCTGCAGTGATGGAGTGGGTCCAAGTTATGCCTCGCTTCATGTCCCAAAATTACTGTCTGCATCAGGAAAACGGTTTGTTTTCTAAACCTTTATCATTTTCAGAGTTTGAAGCCGTCGGCCCACTTGTTTACTCAGTTGAGTAAAGTTCTCAAGCTAAGCAAAGTTCAAGAAGTAAGTAGAGTAATGTTCTAGAGAATTACAGTAAGGGGGAAAAAAATATTTGATTTTGTACGTTTGTCCACTGACAAAGACATGATCAGTCAAATTTTAATGGTAGGTTTATTTGAACAGTGAGAGACAGAATAACAACAAAAAAATTCCAGAAAAAAGCATGTCAAAAATGTTATAAATTGATTTGCATTTTAATGAGGGAAATAAGTATTTGACCCCTCTGCAAAACATGACTTAGTACTTGGTGGCAAAACCCTTGTTGGCAATCACAGAGGTCAGACATTTCTTGTAGTTGGCCACCTGGTTTGCACAGATCTCAGGAGGGATTTTGTCCCACTCCTCTTTGCAGATCTTCTCCAAGTCATTAAGGTTTCGAGCCTGACGTTTGGCAACTCGAACCTTCAGCTCCCTCCACAGATTTTCTATGAGATTATGGCTAGGCCACTCCAGGACCTTAATGTGCTTCTTCTTGAGCCACTCCTCTGTTGCCTTGGCCGTGTGTTATGGGTCATTGTCATGCTGGAATACCCATCCACGACCCATTTTCAATGCCCTGGCTAAGGGAAGGAGGTTCTCACCCAAGATTTGACGGTGCATGGCCCCGTCCATCGTCCCTTTGATGCGGTGAAGTTGTCCTGTCCCCTTAGCAGAAAAACACCCCCAAAGCATAATGTTTCCACCTCCATGTTTGACGGTGGGGATGGTGTTCTTGGGGTCATAGGCAGCATTCCTCCTCCAAACACGGAGAGTTGAGTTGATGCCAAAGAGCTCCACTTTGGTCTCATCTGACCACAACTTTCACCCAGTTCTCCTCTGAATCATTCAGATGTTCATTGGCAAACTTCAGACGGGCCTGTATATGTGCTTTCTTGAGCATGGGGACCTTGCGGGCGCTGCAGGATTTCAGTCCTTCACGGCGTAGTGTTTTACCAATTGTTTTCTTGGTGACTATGGTCCTAGCTGCCTTGAGATCATTGACAAGATCCTCCCGTGTAGTTCTGGGCTGATTCCTCACCGTTCTCATGATCATTGCAACTCCACGAGGTGAGATCTTGCATGGAGCCCCAGGCCGAGGGAGATTGACAGTTATTTTGTGTTTCTTCCATTTGCGAATAATCGCACCAACTGTTGTCACCTTCTCACCAAGCTGCTTGGCGATGGCCCATTCCAGCCTTGTGTAGGTCTACAATCTTGTCCCTGACGTCCTTGGAGAGCTCTTTGGTCTTGGCCATGGTGGAGAGTTTGGAATCTGATTGATTGATTGCTTCTGTGGACAGGTGTCTTTTATACAGGTAACAAACTGAGATTAGGAGCACTCCTTAAGGAGTGTGCTCCTAATCTCAGCTCGTTACCTGTATAAAAGACACCTGGGAGCCAGAAATCTTTCTGATTGAGAGGGGGTCAAATACTTATTTCTCTCATTAAAATGCAAATCAATTTATAACATTTTTGACATGCGTTTTTCTGGATTTTGTTGTTATTCTGTCTCTCACTGTTCAAATAAACCTACCATTAAAAGTATAGACTGATAATTTATTTGTCAGTGGGCAAACGTACAAAATCAGCAGGGGATCATACTTTTTTCCCTCACTGTAAGTCTATATGGAAATGTATGTTATCAGATGGATATGTTATATAGGTTATATAGGTATGTTATAAATGTTGTTTTTATTGCAGTTAAGAAAGAAATATGCCAAACAATTTGAGATTATACTTACATTACTTAAAATATCTTCTTTTTTCCCAAGGTGATATTTGGCCTTGCTTTACTCAATTCGTGCAACGCAGACCTTCGTGGTTTTGGTAAATTCTGTTTTATATTTAATATTTTGACTAAACCAGCTGACTTGAAAACATGCAATGTTTAATCTGTGTGTTGGGGGGGATCATGTTGTTCTGTAATTAAGGTATCTAAGCAAGTATTTATTTGAAATATTTCCCCATCTGTTTTTAGCCGCGCAGTTCGTCAAACAAAAGCTCCCTGACCTCCTCCGCTCGTACGTGGACGCGGACCTTGGAGGAAACCAGGAAGGTGGCTTCCAAGATATTGCCATAGAGGTCTTGCACCTGCTCCTCTCCCATCTTCTGTTTGGCCAGAAGGGAGCCAGTGGGGTTGGACAAGAGCAGATTTACGCTTTCCTCAAGACACTGTGCAGAGGTGAGGGGCATAGACATGCTACTTTAAGGGAAATGTAAATTATATCCAGAGGTAATATAAACTTGGATTCCTTCATCCATAACACTGTTGCCCCATTAGTTAAATGTTGTCTGTGTGTTTCAGATTTCCCGCAGGCGCGCTGCCCTGTGGTGCTTGCACCGCTGCTGTACCCTGAAAAACGGGACATTCTGATGGACAGGATTCTGCCAGACTCGGGAGAGTTAGCCAAGACAATGATGGAGAGTTCTCTTGCAGAGTTTATGCAGGAAGTTGGCTATGGCTTTTGTGCAAGGTGATTATTTAGCAACTGAAATGCCCATTACAAATTAAATGTATTGAGTACTTTTTGATGTCATACATTACCACCACAACAGAAGGAACTGAATGACCGTTACCCCTGTTAATGTACCGGCTCTCTTTCTCAGTCTTGATGAATGCCGCAACATAATCCTTCAGTATGGGGTGCGAGAGGTCACTGCCAGCCAGGTGGCCAGGGTCCTGGGGATGATGGCTCGTACCCACTCTGGCTTGTCTGATGGAATCCCCCTACAGGTGAGGGTTGTCCTGATAGTAACTTACAAAATCTCCTTAAAGCTCTGTATAAAATCATGAAACTGCTTTCTATATATACTAATGCGTTCTTTACATCTTCCTCAGTCCATCTCGGCTCCGGGCAGTGGCATTTGGAGCGATGGAAAGGACAAAAGTGATGGTTCTCAGGCCCACACCTGGAATGTAGAAGTTCTGATTGACGTGGTCAAAGAAGTTGTAAGTTATAGTGGAATTACTTGTTATTCACATTCAGTTGGCCATTCACGTCTTGTACTTTGTACATAACATTTCCTTTTATATTGAAGAACCCCAATCTGAACTTCAAAGAGGTGACCTATGAGCTGGATCACCCTGGCTTTATGATCCGGGACAGTAAGGGACTTCAGATGGTGGTGTATGGGATCCAGAGGGGCCTGGGTATGGAGGTGTTCCCTGTCGACCTCATCTACCGGCCCTGGAAGCATGCTGAGGGACAGGTAAGAAAGAGGTGTGATCATTGTTGTGTAAAAATGACCACACACACTCAACACTTTGGGCTCTTGCCCTACGGATGGACTTCCTCCTCCTCAGCCCTCCTGACCTTTCTAACTCCCCTCTCTTCCAGCTGTCATTCATTCAGCACTCCCTCATGAGCCCAGATGTGTTCTGCTTTGCTGACTACCCCTGCCACACCGTAGCCATCGACATACTGAAGGCCCCACCTGAGGACGATAACAGGGAGATAGCCACCTGGTGCGTAAAACACAGCCCTCCTGACCACCACAGTTCTAGATATTCCTTTACGTTAATTATTAGTACGTCATGCCATTTCTGATGGTCTTTGTTTGTGTGATTTTCGCCACACAGGAAGAGCCTGGACCTGGTGGAGAGCCTCCTGCGCCTCTCTGAGGTGGGCCAGTACGAGCAGGTGAAGCAGCTCTTCAGTTTCCCCATCAAGCACTGTCCTGACATGCTGGTGCTGGCGCTGCTGCAGATCAGCACCTCCTGGCACACCCTGCGCCACGAGCTCATCTCCACCCTCATGCCCATCTTCTTGGGCAACCACCCCAACTCCGCCATCATCTTGCACTACGCGTGGCACGGACAGGGCCAGTCCCCCTCTATTCGTCAGCTGATCATGCACTCGATGGCAGAGTGGTACATGAGAGGGGAGCAGTACGACCAGGCCAAGCTGTCCCGCATCCTGGATGTGGCCCAGGACTTGAAGGTAGGGGTCAGGGGATCTTTTCAGGAAATATAATAAACTGCGATATACCTTTCTACAAGGCCATTTTGTGCAAACTTTTTTGTTGTTGCAGTATCCAAACTGTTCCTCTTGTTTTTCAGTCTCTTTCGATGCTGCTAAATGGTACTCCATTTGCCTTTGTTATCGACCTTGCTGCACTTGCCTCTCGCCGTGAATACCTCAAACTTGACAAATGGCTGACTGACAAAATCCGAGAGCACGGGGTGGGTGGCGTGAGTTGAGCCTTTAATTTACAACAATTATACATGCACATTGCTACAAAAGTTATTTGGATAGTGTATGACAGTCATTGACCTGTTTGCCGTTCTAGGAGCCCTTCATCCAGGCATGTGTAACGTTCCTGAAGAGACGCTGTCCCTCTATTATGGGTGGTTTGGCCCCAGAGAAGGACCAGCCCAAAAGCGCCCAGCTCCCCCCGGAAACGATGGCTACCATGCTGGGCTGTCTGCAGTCCTGTGCAGGGTGAGTTTACCATGTTTCCATCAGAGGTTGAATCATAAGATCTATGATCACATTTGTGACCGGTCTGCTCCCTTTCATTACGTCAATCATATTATATGGTTGTGCCAAAATGTCTAGTTTCCATAATTCATTTCAAGTCCATGTTCTATTATCTTTCTGAATATGAAACAAGGTCATATAGTTAAATAATGGATGTATTTTTTTTAGGAGTGTGTCTCAAGAGCTCTCCGAGACGATCTTGACCATGGTTGCCAACTGTAGCAACGTCATGAACAAAGCCCGCCAGCCACCACCGGGGGTCATGCCAAAGGGACGTGCTCCCAGCACCAGCAGCCTAGACGCCATTTCCCCTGTGCAGGTATCGGTGTCTCCTCTCCAGGTGAAGGGCATTGCATCTATGTTCACTAACACTGTTATTGGGTAATATGTATCAGCTAGAAACATTGTACTTTCATCATCCCCTGAATTTGATTGACACTTGTTCCATTCTGTGTTCTAGATGGATCCCCTGACAGCCATGGGCTCCCTGAACCTGGGCAGCTCTACCACCTCTCACACACAGAGCATGCAGGGCTTCCCTACCCCTCTGGGCTCTGCCTTCAGCAACCCCCAGTCCCCAGCTAAGGCCTTCCCTCCACTGTCCAACCCCAACCCCAGCACACCATTTGGGGGGATTGGAAGCCTCTCTTCACAGCTAGGTAACCCAGGTATGAGTAGAGAACCTGCCGTAGAGATATTTTCATAGTGTTTTGATTACACTATAATGGAGGACTAAACTTGGATGTATTTATTTTTGTCTAGGTCCGCTGGGATCAGGCATTGGTTCTGGTCTTGGAATGCCAGCGGTGAGCAGTGATCCTTTTGGGACGAGGAAGATGAGCACACCGGGCCTGAATCCGCCCACCTTTCAGCAGAGTAAGATGAAGGCCTGTAAGTGGTGGTGGTGTGACTGAGTGTGCTAGGCGCCTCAACTGTATTTCCTCCGAAAACGTTCTCTTAATATCTCCTAATGGCCTCTTGAAGTAATGAGGGTTTACTTGGATCAATTACAAATGCTTTAACATTTCTCATCTAAAACCATTGAGTACAATCTGGGAAGAAAAACTGTGTCTTTCACACATTGAATCAGAGGAAATACAGGTCAGTCTTCCATTAAACACAAATTGGCAAATTCTTATGCTCCTAATTGACATGAATTTGAACTTGGATGTTCAGGACAATCCCTGTACAAATGTTTTTTGTGTAGTGTTTGATAGTGAAAAACATTCTAAGCTTGTTTTTAATTGCTTGTCAAATGTTTTATTTGCTGCAATTTATCACTATTGAAATGGTTCCAATGGGTTTTCTATGGCAGTATTGTTTGATTTAGTCTATCACCTTTTTCCCAGCTGACCTATCTCAGGTGTGGCCTGAGGCTAACCAGCACTTTAGTAAGGAGATTGACGATGAGGCTAACAGTTACTTCCAGCGCATCTACAACCACCCCCCACACCCTACCATGTCTGTGGATGAGGTGAGTCTCTGAGTAAAATAGTCTGCAGGCTGTTTCAGGCGCTGACCCAGTGATGGTGTTTATCCTCAAACTGACAGCTGCTTAATCCATGGTGCCCCTCTCTCTGCAGGTGCTGGAGATGCTGCAGAGGTTCAAGGACTCCACCATCAAGCGAGAGCGTGAGGTCTTTAACTGTATGCTGAGGAACTTGTTCGAGGAGTACCGCTTCTTCCCCCAGTACCCCGACAAGGAGCTGCACATCACCGCCTGCCTGTTCGGGGGGATCATTGAGAAGGGTCTTGTCACCTACATGGCCCTCGGCCTGGCCCTCCGATATGTCCTCGAAGCCTTAAGGAAACCATTTGGATCCAAAATGTATTACTTTGGAATCGCTGCTCTAGATAGATTCAAAAATAGGTATGGACATTTCTTTCTTCAGATGTTTGATGGAATTCCACACAGAATATTTGCATGTTGCTATAGAATGTTGCGTATGTGTGATTCAAATGATCTGTGACTGCTGTAGGGCTATAATTTGATCTTTCCCTCTAGGCTGAAGGACTATCCCCAATATTGTCAGCACTTGGCCTCAATTGGCCACTTTCTGCAATTCCCCCTTCATTTACAAGAGGTAATTGGATTTCCTGTATTGTTTGTGAGACAATCTGTCATTCTTCATCTGTACATGTACCTTCCTTGTCTTTATACTGATCTCCGCACCACCTTAGCCAGAGGTGCGAATCCTACTTCACGATAAATAAGTCTCTCGCTCTGGCACTTTCGAATATCCTGTGCGTGCAGTATATCGAGTATGGCCAACAGTCACGGGATCCTCCGGTGAAGATGCAGGGATCCATCACCACCCCAGGAAGCCTGGCGTTGGCTCAAGCTCAGGCCCAGTCTCAGCCTCCCAAAGCCCCCCAGCCTGGACAGCCCAGCACCCTGGTCACCACAGCTACCACCACCACCACTGTCGCCAAAACCACTACCATCACCCGACCTACCCCTGGCAGCTTCAAGAAGGATGTGCCGGTGAGTACCTGGGAGACGATTGCACCATATATAATATGCCAATGTTTTTCTCTGGCCATGTAAAATTACGCTAGCAAACCAGTGCTTCAGTGTTTGTTTACTGCGTTGCTATAGTTTCATTGTCAATGGCAACACTAAACAGTTCCACGAGGAAGGTTCTCTTGTTTGCACAACGATATGCTCATTTTTGTGTACACACACACACGGAACAAAACCAGCAAATAAATAATTTTTTCAAACGTGACCAGCCTAAGAGAATGAACGTTTGTTTCTAAAGCTATGTCATTGAATAAATAATTACAATATTGTCATTGTTTGGCAAGGATGCACTGTAAGTAATACTTTTATGGGAATTTGAGGTAGTGTAAAATGATGATTTCTAAAGTCGAGGTTAGAATATTGTAAAACATTTTGTTCTGATTGTATATTCTAATCTATTCATTTCAGCCCTCCATCAACACCACCAACATTGACACTCTGCTAGTAGCAACAGACCAAACCGAGAGGATTGTGGAACCCCCAGAAAATGTTCAAGAGAAAATCGCTTTCATCTTCAATAACTTGTCACAATCCAACATGACACAGAAGGTGGGTCATAGAGATATGTTTTTGTTTGTTTACTACTTGGGGATATGTTGCCACTGCTATATTAAACATATTGGTTTTGGTCAATTTAAATACATTTCTGTAATTTTACTAATGCTTGTGTATTTTCATCCAACTCCCAAGGTTGAGGAGTTAAAGGAGACTGTGAAAGAAGAGTTTATGCCCTGGGTCTCCCAGTATCTGGTCATGAAGAGGGTCAGCATCGAGCCCAACTTCCACAGCCTGTACTCCAACTTTCTAGACACCCTGAAGAACCCTGAGTTTGTCAAAATGGTCTTGAATGAAACTTACAGAAACATCAAGGTGTGTAATTATTCACATAATCAACATTTATCGACAATAGTTTATAAACTCATATCAGATTTTTAAAAGAGCTACTTAAACACTAATCTTTTCTCTCTCCATGTGGCAGGTTCTCCTTACCTCTGATAAGGCAGCTGCAAACTTCTCTGATCGATCCCTACTGAAGAATTTGGGCCACTGGCTTGGCATGATCACGCTGGCTAAAAATAAGCCCATCCTGTACACAGTGAGTACATTTCCTCACTTTTAAATGTTGGCATGTATAGAACTTTCCATTTGTTTTCCTCCCAACGAATAACCAAACGCTTGTAATTGTGCACCGAGATGGTATTTTGTTGGTTAACCTGTCTTTTTTGTTTTGTTTTTATTTCTTTAGGATTTGGAGGTGAAATCCCTCTTGTTGGAAGCGTATGTCAAGGGGCAGCAGGAGCTACTGTATGTGGTCCCGTTTGTGGCCAAAGTCCTAGAATCCAGTTTACGTAGTGTGGTAAGGCCACATTCTCACAAGCATTTTCAAATATATCAATAGGTATCTGAATTCACATTTTAAGTTCTAGGGAACAACTTTTGCAATGTTATCAAAGTGATAATGACAGTGAGCTTAGACCCAGCACAGATAGAGCATGCCCCGGCAGGCAGGACCTACCTGCAGGAATAGCGAGACAGCCAATCCAACAGACAATATGATTGTGCCAGGAGTTTAACTAGGTACTAGTTTTTCCTTGTCAGGTCCCATGGTCAAGAGAAACTATGGGCCCTAAGACTGACTCAGTCCCATCAGGCAGAGTACCTACCGGAGCTGACAGGGAGCCAGTCCTTCCAGGCAGAATACCTACAGCAGCAGACAGGGAGCCAGTCCTTCCAGGCAGAATACCTACAGCAGCAGACAGGGAGCCAGTCCTTCCAGGCAGAATACCTACAGCAGCAGACAGGGAGCCAGTCCTTCCAGGCAGAATACCTACAGCAGCAGACAGGGAGCCAGTCCTTCCAGGCAGAATACCTACAGCAGCAGACAGGGAGCCAGTCCTTCCAGGCAGAATACCTACAGCAGCAGACAGGGAGCCAGCCAGAGCTAGATGATGTAGACCATTATAGGCAGTATTATAGCCCACCCCCAGAAGAAGCAAAGAGGCGCAAAGTATGTGTGCAATATTTTAGCTCCTAAAAATACTATTTGGTTTAAAAAATGTGTTTGTTTGGGACCCAATGGCTCTCTGGGTAATATATATGTTGTGCGCACTGGTGGGAGTTATTATGCCTTTAATTGTTTTAAGAGAAGATTATTTATTGTTTTCTCAGATCTTCCGACCTCAGAATCCCTGGACTATGGCCATCATGAATGTTCTGGCAGAGCTGCATACAGAACATGATCTGAAGGTCCGGGAACCCTTTCTCTTTTATCCAGTATCTACATGTTTTAAGTCTAAAAATGAGATTTCACGTACTGATTGTCATTGTGCTTCTTTCTCCACTACAGCTGAATTTAAAGTTTGAGATTGAGGTGCTGTGTAAGAACTTATCACTGGACATCAACGACCTGAAGCCTGGCACCCTGCTGAAGGACAAAGACAAGTTGAAGACTCTGGAAGAGCAGCTCTCTGCACCAAAGAAAGAGGCCAAGCCCCCTGAAGAAATGCTCCCTATTGTTAGCGCAGGTATCCAGCACTTTCAAACTGGGATGCCCCTTGTCGGTGTGTGGATATCTTTCTATCCATTTTATTTCAAATGGTTGTTTCATCTGAATGTCCCCATGTATATAGAAATGGTAATATTTAATCACAATTGTTGAATATGATTTTAGCCCATCTTAAGTTCCATCATTTGAATGTAGAATGACAACCTACATTTGTAGTGTTTTGCCAAGAACATTTGACCCATTTCTTTTTGCTTTGTTTTGTTCATCTAACCGCTGCGCTTGAGCTCCTTTTTCCTGTATTTTAACCACAATAGCGTTTTGTAACCAACAGGAGACTTTCTTCCATTTGCAGCTGCACCAACCACTCCCGCTCCAACCACCACTTGCTCAGCTACTGGGCCCCCTACCCCTCAGTTTAGCTATCATGACATCAATGTGTACGCGCTTGCAGGGCTAGCCCCTCACATCAATATCAACATCAATGTAAGTAGCACCTTCACTCAAACACCTTGTGGCATACACATGGTAAGTCTTTTGAGGTGTGGTGATACGAACGCTCTTCACTCCCTGCAGATCCCCTTGCTCCAAGCCCACCCTCAGCTGAAGCAGTGTGTGAGACAGTCCATTGAGCGGGCCGTGCAGGAGCTCGTCCACCCCGTAGTGGACCGCTCCATCAAGATCGCCATGACCACCTGCGAGCAGATCGTCAGGAAGGACTTTGCTCTGGACTCGGAGGAGTCGCGCATGCGTGTGGCTGCCCATCATATGATGCGTAACCTGACCGCCGGCATGGCCATGATCACCTGCCGGGAGCCCCTGCTCATGAGCATCGCCACCAACCTGAAGAACAGCTTTGCCGCTGCCCTCAGGGTACAGTCATCTTCATTCTCTCCCATTCACATCCACAAAGCGCTATATAAAATGTAAAGTATTATTATTTGTGTTTCTCTTGCTTTTAACTGTGCTCCTGTCCCCCTCTAGGCCCCCACCCCCCAGCAGAGAGAGATGATGGAGGAGGCTGCTGCCAGGGTTGCCCAGGACAACTGTGAGCTGGCCTGCTGCTTCATCCAGAAGACTGCCGTGGAGAAGGCCGGCCCAGAGATGGACAAGAGGCTGGCGACGGTGAGTTTAGTTATAGGCACGTTCATATTCGCACTGGGATGCTGCTCTTGTACTTTATCTAATGGCTGACTGCTGTACCCTTCCTCTCCTGTAGGAGTTTGAGCTGAGGAAGCACGCCCGTCAGGAGGGCCGTCGCTACTGTGACCCCGTTGTGCTGACCTACCAGGCCGAGCGCATGCCAGAGCAGATCAGACTCAAGGTGAGCACACCTGGCCTATAGCACTCCATTGGTTTCTTTCCTAGTAGTGGTATTGTTGAAGAGATATTCATTTTTTAAATATATTTCATAAATGTGCATCTGGACTATTTACGGAGTGATATTTCTGCCACAGGTTGGAGGCGTAGACCCCAAACAGCTGGCAGTGTATGAGGAGTTTGCCCGGAATGTTCCAGGCTTCCTACCCAGCAACGACCTGTCTCAGCCTACAGGATTCCTTGCCCAACCCATGAAGGTAAGGCTCTTCGGCCATGGAAGAGAGAACTCCCCATTATTGCATTTGCTGCTATCTTGACATAACCCAACCTCATTTTAAGGTTAAGGAGTACAATATGAATGTTTCTCTGTCCTGTGTTTATTACAGCAACAGGCATGGGCCACAGACGACGTGGCTCAGATCTATGACAAGTGCATGGCAGACCTGGAGCAGCACCTCCACGCCATCCCTCCAGCGCTGGCCATGAACCCTCAAACCCAGGCCCTGCGCAGCCTGCTGGAGGCCGTGGCCCTGGCCAGGAACTCCCGGGACGGCATCGCCGCTCTGGGCTTGCTGCAGAAGGTCAGGGACTAGTCCTCACACAGCCACAATGGGAGTACATGCATACATAGAAAAGTAGCTTAGGTCTCAGTAGAAAAGCTTTCTTCTTAACTGTCTCTCTTACTCTCTCCTTCCTTGTTCCAGGCTGTGGAGGGTCTGCTGGATGCCACCAGTGGTGCCGATGCTGACCTGCTTCTGCGGTACAGAGAGTGCCACCTGCTGGTGCTCAAAGCCCTCCAGGACGGCCGGGCATACGGGCCACAATGGTGCAACAAGCAGATTACCAGGTTGGTATCCCCCTTAAAACCAACTCATGGGAATCTTTTTGGCTTTAATGGGGAAGGGAAACTAAATCAACTCATCAATTTGTTAATGTTTGGGATATGTTTTCCAGGTGCCTGATTGAGTGCCGTGATGAGTACAAGTACAACGTGGAGGCTGTGGAGCTGCTGATCAGAAACCACCTGGTCAACATGCAGCAGTACGACCTGCACCTGGCACAGGTAAACACCACTACACACACCTTCTTTATTAAGCGTTGAGATGTTTATTTTAGAGAGCACAACTAATGCACAACTGTAGTTTGTCTTGATTCTATAAAACTAGACAATGGGCTTGCTGTGTGTTTCGTCCCTGTGTCAGTATATCTTAGAACCCTGTATGTACGGTATGTTTATCTGTCTAGTCTATGGAGAATGGGCTGCATTACATGGCGGTGGCGTTTGCCATGCAGCTGGTGAAGCTGCTGTTGGTGGATGAGCGCAGTGTCAGCCACATCACAGAGGCAGACTTGTTCCACACCATCGAGACTCTGATGCGAACCAGCGCCCACTCCAGGGCCAATGCACCCGAAGGGTAAATCCTTTTCTAATTTTTTGTATTCGCTAGGGCGCACACTAGCAAAACCTTTTGAAACTGAAAACTAAAATGGGCATTTCTTAATAGGCGAGTTCAGTCCCTTACTGTTTGTCAGTTTTCTTCTATTTTGTGCGTATTGAATACAACCCTGGAGATGTGGAGTTTATTGTGGTGTTGGTGTACATGTGTTTTGTCGTTTTTTCTAACTGATATATATCTGTCCTTTGACCCCAAGGCTTCCTCAGCTGATGGACGTGGTCCGTTCCAACTACGAGGCCATGATCGACCGGGCCCACGGAGGACCCAACTTTATGATGCACTCTGGCATCTCCCAGGCATCAGAGTATGACGACCCACCGGGCCTGAGGGAGAAGGCTGAGTACCTGCTGAGGGAATGGGTCAACCTGTACCACTCTGCAGCCGCCGGCCGGGACAGCACCAAGGCCTTCTCTGCCTTTGTGGGCCAGGTAAAGTACCGCACACACTTGTCGTTATGATAGTTTAACAGTCTTTGCCTTATGACGACAGTCTGTCTCCTCCAAGCCAGTTAGAACGCTGTTTGCCTTCAAAACACACAAACCGAGCACAGCTCCAGTTGCGGCCTTGACACAGTGGGACCTTAGTGCTAGAGCAGTGCACATAGCTGCAACCCACTGCTGTGCTCACCCTGCAGCAGTGTTACTTATGAGACGTCAATATTTATACTAAGAAAAATCTTTGTATAAAGTTAATACTTGCCTAAGCTAGTAGAGTAGCTGTTTATTTCAGGAAAAAATATACAACACAATTTTAACTATATTATGGAAGACTAGAAGTGTATGGCAATTCTCACTACTTGACTTACTCTCCTCCCCAGATGCACCAGCAGGGCATTCTGAAGACCGATGACCTGATCACTCGTTTCTTCCGGCTGTGCACGGAGATGTGTGTGGAGATCAGCTACCGCGCCCAGGCAGAGCAGCAGCACAACCCTGCGGCCAGCGCCGCCATCATCAGGGCCAAGTGCTACCACAACCTGGACGCCTTTGTGCGCCTCATCGCCCTGCTGGTCAAGCACTCTGGAGAGGCCACCAACACCGTCACCAAGATCAACCTGCTCAACAAGGTTAATAACAGGAGGATACTCATCATGGAGTCTGTAGAATAAGCTCTGCTTTGTAAAGATCTCTTGGAAAGACAACCGTACATTTGACATCATCAAACTGACAACACAATTCATAGTTATGAGTTGTTTGTCTTTTTAAAACACGTCACAGATTTCCATTTAAGAAATGCTCTTGTGAAATGACATTACTGGGCTCATCAATGTGTCCCTTGACTGGTCTCAGGTTCTAGGTATTGTGGTTGGAGTGCTGATCCAGGACCATGATGTGAGACAGACTGAGTTCCAGCAGTTGCCTTACCACCGCATCTTCATCATGCTGCTGCTCGAACTCAATGCCCCCGAGCACGTGCTGGAGACCATCAACTTCCAGACCCTCACCGCCTTCTGGTAAATGCTGCCATCACGCCTATTAGAAAAGCCATAGGAGATCAAACTTTTCTTAGTGGAATACAGCAAAGAATTCTAGGATTGGTTTTCACTGGAGATATTTATCACTGATTGTCAGAACATCTTAAAGCTCACTTTCCTTAACTGTAAATGTGTGGCGCACATCTGTAGTGAGTCGTGTACCATCTCCATGTTTCTATTTTGTTCTTTGTGTCCACAGCAACACTTTCCACATCCTGAGGCCTACCAAAGCCCCTGGCTTTGTTTACGCTTGGCTGGAGTTGATCTCTCACCGTATCTTCATCGCCAGGATGCTGGCACACACCCCACAGCAGAAGGCAAGGATAGGTCACTGTGTGACAAGACAGTGCCATGTTTAGGTCAGTGTTTTTGGTACTGAAGAGCAACCATTGATAACCTGTGTTTTCTCTTCTCTTAGGGTTGGCCCATGTATGCCCAACTTCTCATTGATCTGTTCAAGTACCTGGCGCCCTTCCTGAGGAATGTTGAGCTCAACAAACCTATGCAAATCCTCTACAAGGTTTGGAAACTGCTCTTAATGTTTTTCCCTTGAAACCATTTGTAACCTGACTATGATTTGGATTTGATTTAAATGTTTCTCCTCTGTCCTCAGGGCACCCTGCGCGTCCTTCTGGTCCTACTCCATGACTTCCCAGAGTTCCTGTGCGACTACCACTATGGCTTCTGCGATGTCATCCCGCCCAACTGCATCCAGCTCCGCAACCTGATTCTGAGTGCCTTTCCACGCAACATGAGGCTTCCAGACCCATTCACTCCCAATCTTAAGGTACAGCCGAATGACAGACCCTAAATACATTTACACAGAAAATTATTTTGTGGTTTTCTGCAAATGTAAATGTTTAGATTGAGTAATAACTATTTCTCACTTTTTGTCTACTAGGTTGACATGCTCAGCGAGATCAACATCGCTCCGCGCATCCTCACGAACTTCACCGGAGTGATGCCCTCTCAGTTCAAGAAGGATCTGGACTCGTACCTGAAGACGCGCTCCCCCGTCACCTTCCTCTCTGAACTCCGCAGCAATCTGCAGGTAGGGGGCGCCACTCGGGGTCCCCGGAAGTATTTGCAGCACAACGACACATCTTTAGAACAGGTTAAGTTTTGAGTCTTTGAGCAAATGTTCAAATGTCGATTTTTGTCATGCGTTGTATCTGAAGTGTCATTGTACATGGGTGTATGTTTCAGTGCGTGTCTGTAGATTTAGTTCTAGGCAATGCAATCTGGGGAAAAAAACGATTGTCTTGTTCAATTGCAATTGTTGTGGTTTTACATTTTGTTCTCCTTTTTACCCTCCAAACCTATTCTAGGTGTCAAATGAGCCAGGCAACCGTTACAACATCCAGCTGATCAACGCTCTGGTGCTGTATGTGGGAACCCAGGCCATCGCACACATCCACAACAAGGGCAGCACCCCCTCCATGAGCACCATCACTCACTCAGCCCACATGGACATCTTCCAGAACCTGGCTGTGGACCTGGACACTGAGGGTAAGACATGCATACAGTTTTCTCTTTTCATTGTAATGAAGTATACAGTGGTATTCTCATCATTATCTGTTCCCAGGGCGCTATCTCTTCCTGAATGCTATCGCCAATCAGCTGCGCTATCCAAACAGCCACACCCATTACTTCAGCTGCACCATGCTCTACCTGTTTGCTGAGGCCAACACTGAGGCAATCCAGGAGCAGATTACCAGGTCAATCTTGTTCTCTACAAAGAAGTCTTACATTTGAAGACATTGCAGAACTACCAAAATCTGTCCAAGTGTCTTTGTTAACAGGATTTTGCTCCTCTATGCAGGGTTCTTCTGGAGAGGCTGATTGTGAACAGGCCTCATCCCTGGGGACTGCTCATCACCTTCATCGAGCTCATCAAGAACCCTGCCTTCAAGTTCTGGAGCCACGACTTTGTGCATTGTGCCCCGGAGATCGAAAAGTATGTGCTCATTCATTCGCTACCAGAGTTGGCTTTTCACTCAGCTGAGATTACTTCACCTGCAGAGTAGTAGCTGGATGATAACCAGTTAGCAGCATGTTGTGTTCAGGCTCTGCTTTAATCAAAAATATCATACACATCATTCTAAGATAAATTGCTGCAATGGAAGGACTTGGATTAAACGCCCTCCGCTGTCTTCTCTCTCTCTCTCTCAGGTTGTTCCAGTCAGTGGCTCAGTGCTGCATGGGGCAAAAGCAGGCTCAGCAGGTGATGGAGGGCACTGGTGCCAGTTAGTCAGCCAGCCTGCAGGAGAGAGAATGGGGCCAAACCCTCCATCCCTGGACCCACCCCACAGATGCCCCCCTACATTACTGTTAGCACTGGACGAACTGGCAACGCTGATTTGAAGTTTGACTGCTGCTCATGGATCTAAGAGTTTGTTTTGGCCTGGATATGGAGTTATTTGGACATGCTGTTTAATATCATTTTTATGCTTCGATGTAAATATTAAAAGGGAGAGAGTACGAGCAGATGTGTGAAAGTGTCCAACAAATGATCTAACATGTAAAGAAGACTTGTACACACACACACACACATTCAGTCACTACCAAAGGTCCATGGCTGTCTCCCTCCTAAAGATTTAGTTTTTGCATATTTGATGACTGATTTATTTGCATTCAGAGGCTTAAAAGTTAGTGGATAAAAAAGAGGGCTGTTTTTTTTTAATTTTTTTTATTTGTTGAGTGGGAAAAGAAAGGCAGTGCACTAGATTCTCTCATGGGTTCACTCCTTTAATCTGATTGGGGTGTGGTGGGGGCATTGGGCTTTCCATTTTAAATAGTGGGTTAGAGGTTCTCCCCGGCACTTGTAAAATTGTGGAAAATTTAAGATGTCGAATTAAATCTTAAAATTTGTACAAATATCCAAATTGCAGAACAACAAAAGGACCAATACAGCCCATTTTGTAAGGATTTTGAATGTTTTGTAAATGTATTGGTCCGTGTGTTGTATTTTGTAGTCCTTTATAGTTGCCTTTAGTTCTTGCTACTTATTTCCTGTATGTATGCATACTGTAGTTAACCATTAAACAATTGAACTGCATTTTTGTCTTCATGCTGATGACAAATTACTTTAGACTACTGTTATGTTTTCATTTTATTTTGCAAAATGTAAATTACTATCAAATTACACTATAGTCTACATTACAACACGTAAAAGGATAAGCAATTCACTCAACAGCTGCTTGCCAGCCAACTTGACACATCTGTGAGAAGCATTGGAGTCAACATGGGCCAGCATCCCTGTGGAATGCTTTCGACACCTTGTAGTCCATGCCCCGACGAATTGAGGCTGTTCTGAGGGCAAAAGTGGTTTCAACTCAATATTAGGAAGGTGTACCTAATGTTTTGGGCTTTAGCTGATATTCTTTAGTCAAGTGTATTTGGCCAGGCCTCAATTGTTCCTTGACGACCACCATTCATTCTTGCTGTTGATAATTCTAACGTTAATTTCTAATAGTAATTTGTATCCACTGCGGATTTGGGAAAGTGCGGTAAGAGCCAACATGTTTGATGCAGAGCTACCTGCCAGCAGTAATCGTCTCTTAATTGAGAGATTCAAGGAGCTATAATAGTAGGTGCAAATCATTAAATATTTACATTCATACACTTAGAAGTTAAATTTGTAAATTTGTCCCAGACGTTTCATTTTATCGGGGTTAGTTTACCTTGCCATATACATTTCGAAACCACACTGGATTGTATCCCAATCGCCAGAAGGGGGAGATATGGAAAGCATGTCTACAGAAATTGGGATGTTAGTCCATCAGGTCAGATTGAATTGATTTGAGCTTTCTGTCAAAGTTTCTGGCGATGGTTTGATCTAAACAAGGAAATATATATACTCAAATATTTGAATTGGGAAACAACTGGGATTCTATAGGTAGAGATGGAGTCCTCCATCGGGGTCTTCAGAGGCAGATTAATTTTATAATTTGAGATTAAGATGAATTTATCTATGCACTTCAATGCGTGTGGGAGCGATGGAGATACATTGTCTTGATATAGTAAAATATCGTCTGTGTATAATGAGATTAAATGATCAGTAGATTTTAGGGAAATTTGTTTTTTCCTTCGATTTACGAATTGCCTGGGCCAGGGGTTCCATGGATAATAAAAATAGCAAAGGAGAAATCGTATCGCCTTGTCAGCTGCTTCTAGTGATTCTGAACGGAGCAGATGTAGCCTGTTATTAGTATGGCTGAGGGATTGGCATATAGTATTTTAACCATAATGAAATTGGAGCCAAGCCCCATATGTTCCAAGACAGAACAGAGATATGACCATTATAGTCTGCATCAAGCGATAAAACCGCATAAGGAGCTGTTTCCGATTAATCATTTAAGATATGTAATAGTCCACGTAGGTTATCAGAGGATAACTTATTTTTTAACAAACCGGCTTTGGTCAGTGTGGACCAATTTGGGTAAATAAGGCTCGAGACCGGACGACAACATTTTGGATTACAGTTTAATATATGTTTATCAAAGATGGGGGGCGGTAGAACACTCGTTGGCATCCTTACCCTTTTTCAATAAAAGCAAAGTTAGTGCTGTATTCACATCTCTCCCAAATGAACCTTTGTGAATGGCTGTGTTAATCATTTTGTGCAATAGTGGACCTAATTGATCTCAACATTTCAAATAGACTTCAGGGGGAATAGATTCCCACCTGGGTGATTTGCCTTTATTCATGCTAAATCAATCAAATGGTATTTGTCACATGCCCCGAATACAACAGGTTTAGACCTTACAGTGAAATGCTTACTTACAAGCCCTTAACCAACAATGCAGTTTTAAGAAAAATAAGTGTTAAGTAAAAAATAGTTAAGTAAGAAATAACAATAATTAAAGAGCAGCAGTAAAATAACAGTAGGGTACAGGTACAGGGGGTACAGGCTATATACAGGGGGTACAGGTACTGAGTCAATATGCATGGCACAGGTTAGTCGAGGTAATTAAGGTAATATGTACACGTAGGTAGAGTTAAAGTGACTGCATAGATAATAAACAGAGTCTCCTGAGGGGGAATAGGCTTTGTCGTGCCCTCTTCACAACTGTCTTGGTGTGTTTGGACCGTGATAGTTTGTTGGTGATGTGGAAACCAAGGAACTTGAAGCTCTCAACCTGCTCCACTACAGCCCTGTCGATGAGAATGGGGGTGTGCTCAGTCCTCCTTTTCCTGTAGTCCACAATCATCTCCTTTGTCTTGATCACGTTGAGGGAGAGGTTGTTATCCTGGCACCACACAGCCATGTCTCTGACCTCCTCCCTATAGGCTGTCTCATCGTTGTCGGTGATCAGGCCTACCACTGTTGTGTCGTCGGCAACCTTAATGATGGTGTTGGAGTCGTGCCTGGCCATACAGTCATGGGTGAACAGGGAGTACAGGAGGGGCCTGAGCACGCACCCCTGAGGGGCCCCGTGTTGATCAGCGTGGCAGATGTGTTGTTACCTACCCTTACCACCTGGGGGCGGCCCGTCTGAAAGTCCATGATCCAGTTGCAGAGGGAGGTGTTTAGTCCCAGGGTCCTTAGCTTAGTGATGAGCTTTGAGCGCACTATGATGTTGAAGGCTGAGCTGTAGTTAACGAATAGCTATCCAATGCTCTTTTGAGTTCATTGAGAGAGATGTGGGCTCCCAGCGAGGCAGCTTCCTCTGTTGAGAGAAGAGGAGTTCAAAATTATTTTACAAAGGATTTACTCTGGCTTGGTGTGGATTTACAATCAGAGGTGTACAGTTCTTTATAGAAGCGGGAGAATCTTTTATTAATTTGGGTTCTGATAGTAATTCCCCTGTTTCAGATACAAAAGTTGCTATATATCGGCTAATTGATCATTACTGCGTACCTTGTTGGCCAGTAAATGACTGGGACGGTTACCATGGAATTAATGGTTGAGTCTAACCGATGGATGGAAAATTCTGCTCTCTGTCTTATCAATAAATTAAGTTCTGTATTGACTTTGGAAAGAGTAATAGCTATTTGTTGAGAACGCTCTAACGCAGTTAACAACATCTTTAGTTGTGATTTAATCAACCCAGATGTAAATGCAGTTGCATTATTTTTCATAAAACCATTGGTGGCATCCCATAGAATCCAGGGGTCATCGACTGTATTTTATTGATCATCATGAATTATTTTAGTTACATTTCAAATTAATAACAGAATGTAAGATTTTGTAGTAATAAATGTTGAAACGCCATTGTCACAAACGAGACTCCCGCTGTTCCTCCTGCTCACCACCAGAGGGAACCCTCTCCTGAGTATTAAACCCCTGAACTACATTTCCCACATACCTGGCTCTGATTACCGTTGCACCTGACTCCCATCAGTAGACTATTTAGGTGCTCTCAAACTCTCTCTCTTTGCGAAGTCTTGTTAGCCCTGGTGATCATTTCTGAGCGTTTTCGCCTGTGTCTGTCTGCCCGTGGATTTACTCTGGACTGTTTTTCCCTCCTTGATTCTTTGCTGCCTGCCCTGGACTATATTCTTTACTGGACTGATTTTTGTAAGCTTGCTGCCTGCCCTGACCTTATGTCTGTACCTGGATTACGATTTGCCTTATCCCTACTGTTGTGTCTGCTGGCGATTGACCCTGTTTGTACGACCAAGATTGTAATAAAACTGCAAATGGATCCTCACTCTCCTGGAGCATCATTACAGCCATCTTGTGGCTCTTTTAGGAGATTCTGAAATGTGTAATTGGCAGTCATGGTGTGGTGATCGGCTCATACACTACATTACCAAAAGTATGTGGACACCAGTGACTCAGTCAATAAAAAAGTGGTCAGATGAAGCAGATGCTAAGCTACATGACTGTTTTGCTAGCACAGACTGGAATATGTTCCGGGATTCTTCTAATGGCATTGAGGAGTACACCACATCAGTCACTGGCTTCATCAATAAGTGCATTGATGACGTCGTCCTCACAGTGACTGTACGTACATACCCCAACCAGAAGCCATGGATTACAGGCAACATCCACACTGAGCTAAAGGGTAGAGCTGCCGCTTTCAAGGAGCGGGACTCTAACCCGGAAGCTTATAAGAAATCCCGCTATGCCCTCCGACAAACCATCAAACAGGCAAAGCATCAATACAGGACTAAGATCGAATCGTACTACAATGGCTCCGACGCTCGTCGGCTGTGGCAAAGCTTGCAAAATATTACAGACTACAAAGGGAAGCACAGCCGCGAGCTGCCCAGTGACACGAGCCTACCAGACGAGCTAAATTACTTCTATGCTCGCTTCAAGGCAAGTAACACTGAAACATGCATGAGATCATCAGCTGTTCTGGACAACTGTGTGATCACGCTCTCCGTAGCCGATGTGAGTAAGACCTTTAAACAGGTCAACATTCACAAGGCCGCAGGGCCAGACGGATTACCAGGACGTGTACTCCGAGCATGCGCTGACCAACTGGCAAGTGTCTTCACTGACATTTTCAACCTCTCCCTAACTGAGTCTGTAATACCAACAAGTTTCAAGCAGACCTCCATCATCCCTGTGCCCAAGAACACTAAGGTAACCTGCCTAAATGACTACCGACCCGTAGTACTCACGTCTGTAGCCATGAAGTGCTTTGAAAGGCTGGTCATGGCTCACATCAACACCATTATCCCAGAAACCCTAGACCCACTCCAATTTGCATACCGCCCCAACAGATCCACAGATGTGTACCTGGCCACTGTCTCCAAATGCTCCGTTTGGATTGGATTTGTACCACAAATGCAAACAAAAAATACTTTAGGAGACAGTGGCCAGATAAACAAAACCATGCATGGATTACTGTCTCACCTTGTCCATAGACTAATTACAGGGTAAGGAAACCATTATGTAATTTTGTAATTTGGGTGAAGTATCCCTTTAAGTCAAGGTCTGACTATCATTAAGTGTTAAACCTATTAAATTGGTATAATACCAATGCCCAGGGTCCATTAGTGATCTTCGCATTCTCAGTGAAGATACGAATGAAGAACTTAAGAAACTTGTCGTCATATTCATAGCGGGACCCAAATAGTACAAGATAAAGGATATTGAATGAAGATTTATGGAAGATAGTCTGAGTGCCTCCCTGTACAAAATAAAAATATATAGTAGTAGTTATTATCTATTTATGATCAGTTAAATGACAAGTATGATACGTTTCTTTACCACAAAGACAGATTAATGTCAATTTTAAATGTTATACTTTCATACCAACACTTTTCTCCAAGGGTGCAATGATGTATGATGTCTCCTCCAGAATCCTTTCCTCCATAGACTGCTTCCCAGACCAAAGTTTCTCAGGGTCATTAGGGCGAAGAGACGTTGCTCTCTCCAGCGTGAGCTGTATTTCGAAATAATGAAACCTGGGGAGGGGTTTTAAAAATCTGACGAGCAGCTTACATTATATGATTTTGAAGAAAATAAAACTATAATCAGCGGGTAGTTTCAGGAGCTCTGCACAGTAAATAAAAAATGAATAATTTCTAAATTATTAAATGTGTTTCTGGTTGATTCTTTCAATAGTATAGTTTTTGTTGTTATTTCTTTTTCCTTGTGTAGTGGTTGAGCATAAGGTTTTGGGGTCTTCTTGCAAAGTCCAAAGCCTTGGTAACCAGGGCCTCCTTCATAGCTTCAAGCCCATTGAGAATCACAGCTGGCCTTCCACCAATATAAAGACTGAAAACCTTCCCATATCGCTCTGCCAACTAGTTGGGAAAGAGCACATGAGGACACATTTACAACACAGTAACACTGTGATTACAAGTGATACAAGATAACATCACCCTTTGATGAAGGAATGACAAAGATTTTAAACAAATAATGTAACTGATAGTTACACTGACACTGCTGATTCTTTCATGAGTTGTTATGCTATTTGAGGCATAATAACTGCACCTTCTCCAGGTCTTTCAAATGATTCCTCAAGCTCAGATGCAGCAGATTCCCAAATATTTGAATGGGTTTTGGACCAGGAGGAAAGTTTGTGGTTCGATTAATCTTCAGGATGAAAAAGAGGAAGCAGATGCCTATCCACAGTAGAACAAACGAGCCCAACATGATCGGCTGTCCTGTTCCACGCTGCACACTGCTCTTTATACATGCGCAGGAGGTTCACACATGGGTGTACAAAGTTTACACTCACACTGGCCATTGTGTACTTAAGTCATTGCCATTGTGGGAGGTACACATGTGGGATCTTAATTTGATCACCCGGTTGCAGGAGAACTTTACTGCAATACAGGAAATGTAAAACTTGTAGTGTATTTGAGGTTTAAAATGGCTTCTGAAGTTTGTAATTTCCATTTTGAAATTTCAGACATGATTTTCCCTTGCGAAAAATGTATAAATCCCTACAAACATGTCTATTAATTATAATCCATATAATAATTCACATTTCCTGTTGCTGCAGGATTATTTTCCTGCTGTAGCAAACTGGCTTAAATTAAGATCCAACATTTGTAGGCCTATGCTTCTCAGTATGTACACTCAGTAACACTTGGTGTTGTAAAAGAACCCCATGGGTATTAATAACCAGAGTTGTGTGTGATTGTGTCATTTTTCCTCTGTGTAACAAAGAGGGCTGGTGGATGGAGCTCTAGGAGGACGGGCTCATGGTACCAAACACATCAAACACATGGAAACAACGTGTTTGATTCCGTTCCATTGACTCCATTCCAACCATTACAATGATCCCATCCTCCTATAGCTCCTCCCACCAGCCTCCTCTGCTGTGTAGAGTAAAACACTAAAAACCATGCCCATCATTATCATATTTCCCAGCATGCTCTATTGCAGGTTGATTTTCAGAATAGTTTTTTTCAATTTCTGTTTTTGCATGTACATTGATTAGTTGATTAATCTTATGCTACACAAAGATAAATAACATACATTTTCTAAACTAATCCAACCTGTTAGTAGTTGGATTTATTGCACCTGTTACTAAAATGGTTGTTCCAGTTTAGATTATTTAGGTAGTCTCATTAACCAATCTTCCCTACCCTGACAGTCATTGAATGCAGGTTGCAAGTGATTAAAAGTTCAAAATGTTGGATATCCTCACTCTGGCTGGATTTTAAAAGGAATTACAGATCACTTTGCTAGCCATCCTAATGTGACTTTCAGTCCTTATGTGGCCTGTAAACCAGGAGTTTTAGACCACTGTGTTAGGGTATAACTAGGCTCTCAAAGAAAGGCCTTATGATATACAGTGAGGGAAAAAAGTATTTGATCCCCTGCTGATTTTGTACGTTTGCACACATCTCAGGAGGGATTTTGTCCCACTCCTCTTTGCAGATCTTCTCCAAGTCATTAAGGTTTCGAGCCTGAAGTTTGGCAACTCAAACCTTCAGCTCCCTCCACAGATTTTCTATGGGATTAAGGTCTGGAGACTGGCTAGGCCATTCCAGGACCTTAATGTGCTTCTTCTTGAGCCACTCCTTTGTTGCCTTGGCCATGTGTTTTGGGTCATTGTCATGCTGGAATACCCATCCACGACCCATTTTCAATGCCCTGGCTGAGGGAAGGATGTTCTCACCCAAGATTTGACGGTACATGGCGCCGTCCATCGTCCCTTTGATGCGGTGAAGTTGTCCTGTCCCCAAAGCATTTTTTTGTTTGTTTCCACCTCCATGTTTGACGGTGGGGATGGTGTTCTTGGGGCCATAGGCAGCATTCCTCCTCCTCCAAACACAACGAGTTGAGTTGATGCCAAAGAGCTCGATTTTGGTCTCATCTGACCACAACACTTTCACCCAGTTCTCCTCTGAATCATTCAGATGTTCATTGGCAAACTTCAGACGGGCCTGTATATGTGCTTTCTTGAGCAGGGGGACCTTGCGGGCGCTGCAGGATTTCAGTCCTTCACGGCGTAGTGTGTTACCAATTGTTTTCTTGGTGACTATGGTCCCAGCTGCCTTGAGATCATTGACAAGATGCTCCTGTGTAGTTCTGGGCTGATTCCTCACCGTTCTCATGATCATTGCAACTCCACGAGGTGAGATCTTGCATGGAGCCCCAGGCCGAGGGAGATTGACAGTTCTTGACAATTGTTTCTTCAATTTGCGAATAATCGCACCAACTGTTGTCACCTTCTCACCAAGCTGCTTGGCGATGGTCTTGTAGCCCATTCCAGCCTTGTGTAGGTCTACAATCTTGTCCCTGACATCCTTGGAGAGCTCTTTGGAATCTGATTGATAGCTTCTGTGGACAGGTGTCTTTTATACAGGTAACAAGCTGAGATTAGTAGCACTCCCTTTAAGAGTGTGCTCCTAATCTCAGCTCGTTACCTGTATAAAAGACACCTGGGAGCCAGAAATCTTTCTGATTGAGAAGGGGTCAAATACTTATTTCCCTCATTAAAATGCAAATCAATTTATAACATTTTTGACATGCGTTTTTCTGGATTTTTTGTTGTTGTTATTCTGTCTCTCACTGTTCAAATAAACCTACCATTAAAATTATAGACTGATAATTTCTTTGTCAGTGGGCAAATGTACAAAATCAGCAGGGGATCAAATACTTTTTTCCCTCACTGTATGTAATGTATTGTCATAAAGAGTTGAATTATAAAGGCTAATATAGGTGAAGGATCTTAATTTGAGCCAGTTTGCTACAGCAGTAAAATAATCCTGCAGCAACAGGAATTATTATGTGAATTATAATAATGTACATTTTGTTAGGGGTTGATACATTTTTCGTAAGGGAAAATCAAGTCTGACATTTTTAAGAAGAAATGACAAACTTCAGAAGCCTTTTTAAACCTCAAGTACGCTACAAGTTTTACATCCTACAACAGGGTGATCAAATTAAGATCCTACATCTGTAAGGCTGGTGGAACTGTTCATAGATGCTTCTAGAAATAACCATTCAAAGATAACTGTGTGAAAGGTGCTGTATAGATAAAGTACATTGCAGTACAATATTTCACATTACATTTTTTATTTAGAATTCAACAAGCCACAGATTCCCACAAGACGTTTTGAAAGTACTATCCAGTAAAACAGGTACTGAATGCCTATAACATCAGATATCCCTGTAGGGTTCACTAGTGAGTTTTCCCAATCAAGGGTGTGTGTAATGAGTCCTATATTACATATTCACATAAGCAAATTGTGACAAATTAAAAACAAAAATGTGTTAAGCACAAATACATATAGATAGTTGAATATTATATTATATTATATTACAATATTACACCAATCCTATTTGATCTCTGTCTAGAATATCTTCCCCCTAACTAGTTCCCTCTCAGTCTTACACCCAGTCTGTAGGGTTTGGGGGACAGGGTTACACCAAACACAGGGGTGTAGTCAGGTTCCCCTGCATCCTCAGGCCAGACAAACTTGAAGCGTCGCAGCAGAGTTACCATGATCAGGAAGAGCTCCATGCGAGCGAGTCCTTCTCCAAGACACATTCTGGGCCCTGGAACAACAACAAACTGTATGAGCCCTTTATGTATTATGATGTCAACAACAGCAGTGATGCACTTTGAGTTGCTCTATCCCTCACCTGCAGAGAACGGCATAAAGGCCTCAGGCTTCGTAAACTCGCCCTGCTCGTTCAGGAAGTTTAAGGGGTTGAAATCATGGGGGTACTTCCACTGACCCTCTTCAGACAGCACAGAGGTAAGGTTTGGAATGATCAAAGTGCCCTGCAAGTAAGAAACAGAGAGAGAGAGGGAGAGAGAGAAAGAGAAGAGAAAGAGAAAGAGAAAGAGAGAGAGAGAGAGAGAGAGAGAGAGAGAGAGAGAGAGAGAGAGAGGAGAGAGAGAGAGAGAGAGAGGAGAGAGAGAGAGAGAGAGAGAATGAGACATATCAAAGTGGAGAAGAAATAAGGAACATTATGTTAGAGATTTTGAAATGAGAAGACAAGACATTTTAGATGTATTGCTGCTTCTCACCTTTGGGATACTGTAGCCCATCACCTCAGTGTCTCTGGTGGTGCTACACAGTAAATTTTGAAGTGTTAAAGTAACACTTAAAGAGTTAAATTTAACACTATTTCTGAGTGTATATGGTCCCACCCTGAAATAGTGTTAATTTGACTCTTTTCATAGTGTTAACATTTTAGAGTTAAATTAACTCTAAATAGAGTAAAAATTTAACACTCGCTTACACTGAATAGTGTTATTTTAATTTTACACTAAAGGTTAAATAACACTGGAGAGTGTAAATATTACCCTTGGAAGAGTTAATCATTTACTCTTCTAAAATAACAAATCAACTCTGATTGAGTTTGATTCCAGTCCAGTTTAACACTGCATGGAGTTGACACTCAAGGTTAAAATAACTCTGATAAGTGTTGATGTTACACACTATTGTGTTGATAATTGACTATCTTGCAGTGAAAAACAAGCTCAAATAGAGTCAAATTCTAACACCGTATAGTGTCACGGAAATAAATCTCAGCAGTATTCATTTTACACTTTTTTAGTGTCAAATTACACCAAATACTCCATTAAGTGAGTAAAAATCACAACTTACCACAAAATAATGCATTTCAAATTTTTATTAACAGCTCAACTATGTCAGGCTAAAATATATTAAGAATACAAATCCCTTTTTAAAACATTGACCTTAGGTTTCCATAAAATGGCAATAGGGAACAACATACAAGGAGGAATCTGTCGTTCCATACTTCATTTGAACATCAAAAGGTTTAAAGTAACACAGTTCAGTAATGTTGATCACCTTTTGAACCCTGTCTGGATGCATCCTGACCTTAAAGGCATAGTAATGGTAATCAAAACACACTGTTTCCATCAGTTTTCCACAGAGCAATACACAGTCATCTTTCACAGCAATAATTTTGATTTTACAAAATACAGGCATCTCAAATGCTACCTCAGTACAGATAATGAAGTCACGGCGGGTACTCTGTACCATGATGTTTGATCCACTTGGCAGAAAACACACTGGTAGACAATACAGACCCAAATTTTAAAGCAATCTCGGGACCTTCTTTGAGCTCACTAAGTGTTACCATCTTCCCCGAACCTAAAGTTAATCTTTCCTTGCTAAAGGACTCTCGATACATTGCCATACAACTTTGGTGCTTTTTGGCTAATGTTTTTGTTACATTTTTAAAGCTTTTTAATTGCTTCTTAAAAAAATTATGTTTAGCTTCATAACGCATGCACCACATGTGCAGAACTGGGCCGATGTTTTTTATATTACGAGGGTAATGAATCATGAAGTGATGCTTTGGTAAGAGATTGATTGCAGGAAACAACTGCTTGAAGAGCTGATGATGATCAATGATTAAATGTTTGAGGTAAATGGTCATGCCTTCTGTAAGGACTGGGGAAAATACAATGTTAACAATGTGTAGAAGCAAAAGTAGAAGATGCCAGTGCTGGTCATCTGACTGTATTAAATCACCAAATAGCAAAGGCATATTACGTAATAAGCACCAAGACTGTATAGCATTCAACCCCAAATCATTACTTCCATCAAACAACTTTACTCTAGGTGGACGGTTTCGCTGCTGATTGTATCCATAGTCAAAAGCATGTATTCTACCAGCCAGTTGTTCAGCATTTAGGAAGTTTTCCTTAATGTACTGCAGGACAAGTTTGACTTCAAACTGAGCAACTCCTTCTAAAATATCGTGCATTATATCTACAGAAAAATTGTTGGCTGTATTAAAATACTGTAGTGAATTCAGCAGACAAATGCGTTTGACACCATAGATATGAGGTAGTGTAGGATCTGTTTGTAAAGTTTGACAGTGCAGTTTGTGCATCTCGATAGTTCGTAGTACAACTTTTGGATCATCTTCACAGAACACAGTTTGAAAACAATCTTTCTCAAGGAGACAGAAACGACAACAATACCTTGCCCCAAATGACTCCACAAAGCCAAATAAACCATGCAACCCAAGATTATCACCAGTGACCTGAACTATGGTACCGTGAATCACATCTTTCAATCTGGGAACTTTAAGTCCCTCTGTCTCGAGTACTTTAAGATCACTGACAAGTGGCTCAAGTATCAAATTAAAACCATAACGCTTGATGTCCTGCGCATGGAAAAGAGCACCCAAATGAATATTTATCAATGATGAATTAAAGATTGGGGGAAAATTCCTTAATGTAAAGTATATAGCACCTAATTTGTGTATACCCTTTTTAGACCCCAAGGGGTTTGCTGTTTCAAAGTCGTCATAAAATAGCTGGATCTGTATGGCATCTTTTTCTATAGAGAATAAGGGACTTTTTTTAAAATAGGCGGCATCTCTCAAGTCTGCATACACACCTTCCTTGGGCATGTGCCTGGGCTTGAACATGTCTGCAAGTTCTGGGTTTTGAAAAATGGCCTTTAGTGTTTCTAAAATAGGAATATATGCAAACTTGTCAGTTACAACGACCTGATCGTATGTCCCAGTTGTTTTGTTTCTTCTGCTGTCAAATCTTGTGCCAAGCACCTTTTCAACAGGTTCTACGATTCCCCATTTCTCTTTGAAGTGTTTATTTCGTTTAGCTTCTGAATTTAAGGGTTTGAAAGGGTTTTCCAACTTTTGCAAAGATTGTTCTATTCTGTTCTTATTTTCAGTTTCCTGTGGAGATAAGCACTGCAAAGCTGCATCTGTAGCTTGACTTTGAATCTCAAAAAACACTTCTTCCATGGAGGAAACAAAACTATTTACAGTAGATTGACTTAATCCAGCTGCTTTTAGTTGTGCAACAGCAGAGGCACACATATCTAGAGTGCTCCTGTTGGACTTTTTCAACAGAGTAGATGTGGCTACCTCGTGTTCATTAACTGTCCGTGACGTTGTAGCTGTCTCCTCTACATTAGTGGTCACTGCCTCTCCAATGCTGCTTAAATAAACATCAGGGTCAACCTGTTGGTCAATATACTCAGTGTGTTTTGTGTTTAAATGTTTCCTAAAACCAGAAAACGTACCAAACGCACAGCCACATCCAGTCTGAGCACATTTAAGCCGGAGATTTTTTCCAGGCAAGTAACCGTGAACTAATCGTAAATGCCTAACAAGCATATTTGAACTCGATAACTCAGCCTGACAAACAAAACACTTCATGTTCGAGGAGAAACTTCAAGCACTAATGAAGTAACCTCGCCCTGATTTCAGCAACACGAGGGCTCTCTTTGACCTTGCCAGCATCGATGCTGTACACTGTAGTTTGGATGAAAGTGTACATGTTGTGGAGCATGGTGTTGTAGGATGTGCCAAACACAAAATGTGCCTTAAATAGTTCGTCAAAAGCAACAAGAGAAGAGGTTGACCTGCAAGGTATGGCATTCTTGTCGATAATGATGAAGAACTGGTGGATTGCATTCTTCTTAACTCCAACAGCTAGGAGATAGGGCTGAGCGCTAGTAGTGATGGCATCGAGATGCTCTTGAATGTTTGTTCCGGTCTGCGAAGACAAATGAGGGAAAACTGTAGTTAATGGCCAAGTAGTTGTAGAATATGCAGAAAGAGCCAATACACTACTCTTATTGAATATGAATATTGAATGAATACTTGTAGCCTAATATTAGGTGTTCATACCACAAATTAGAAAAAATACAAACCTTCTTGAATACCACAAGATGTTTCTCTGCTTGGGATGCGGAAACCTTTCCTGGTCTCTTCCGACCCTGAGCGGAGGGTGGAATCAGGTGTATAAGCAGTAAAACCGATGACAGATCACTGTCCCAACCTGTAACAACACAAGTTCAATGTTAACACACTTCAGTTACGTTGTTTTCTTTACAAAAGACCCCCCAGACAGACAGCAGTTCTACATCACAAGAAGTTCTCTAACTAAAACATCCACAGGGCTGAGTCAAATCTCAAAAGTTTTGTTCAATATACTGCTACAGAACGTACTCGTAAATCTTTCACAGATCCAGCTTCTTAGTATTATGTTGATATTTAAATGTTTACACATAATGTTGATATTGCAATACAACACAAAAGGTAGGCTTACAAGCATCTTACCAAAGTCAACATCCAATTCAGTGCCATCCTCAGGAGGATCAGCTGCCAGCAAGAGTTCTTCAAGCTCACTTGTGGATGGAAGCTTTCTGCATTGTTTGATGATCTTTTTCTTGAACGTGACCGGCCACCTTTCCAGAAGCTTGCTTGAGGTATCCTCTCCGAACATTAGAACAAAATCCTGTTCAACCTGGAGTGGGGTGGTGTTGGTGACAATTTCAGTTATTTGACAGCCAATCAAATTGTATTGCGTGCTAGTTTAGCTAGCTAGTATCACTACAATGTCTTACAAAACAATTCACTTGTCATAGTATTTTCAAAATAACATAATTACCAAGCTTTTGACGTCTTTAAAACGTGGAAACTCAGACAGTATGTTGCTTGACTGCTGGGGGTCGAGGATCATTTTGCGGCGATACACAAACGTCAGTTCCATTTTCTTCTTGATTGTGTCTGCATCAGCAGAATGTTTCATCAGTGAGATTGCTTTGTTGCACTCATCATCAGTCAGGGCAGTCTCTGGAACAAACTGGGATTCTCGTCTGACAGTCGGTCCTCCAGACATGTCTTCACCAGTTGATCCTTTGGCTGATTCTACACAACACGGGAAAATTTCAATCATGTCAAAAGTTTTAGTAGCCTGGCTAACTTTTAAAGGAAGTACTCCACTGTAAAATATACTTTTTGAGCTGTAAACTAAATGATATGAATGATATGTTTGATGCTAGGGAGTGTGGCAAGCTGGTTTAGCCAAGGCCAAATGGGAAGAAGGCCAAATTACAGGTGTTGGCCATCTGAGGGGCAGAGGACAGCAAAGGGGGGGGGTGGTTACATGATATATATGAATGTATATGGAGCGTGATAAAAAGGTGACCTTGAAATTGTGGCGTTAATGGCGACGCAAGGAAAAAATTTGGGTGCACCTACATTTTGTGCTGGTGCACCTAAATAAAAAAGTTAGGCGCACAAGTGCAACCAAGACAAAAAGTTAGTGTGGAGCCCTGCATCAATGCTGGTGTTAATATTGACATTATTTCTTCACAATTTATGAAATCTGCAGTTTGTGGGTTGAAAAATGTATGAAAATGCCATCTACTGGTTTAAATCACCCTAAAGTTTGCAAGGCCAGTTTGCCAGGGGTTGCCTCGACCAGTCAGTGTCGAGGCAACCCCCCCTTATGTCACAGTCCTTTGTAGGTCTCTGATGCATATTTTCTTTAAATTTGCTAAGAGGGAGGGAGCTAGCAGAATTGAAGGATGTAGTTACACATTATACTATATGTCTGAGAAATAGTGCAACAAATGCAATTATTGATCTAGCAACTGTTTTGTTCCATACATTTTCCAGTATTACCTCCGAATGATGATCGCCTGTCTTTGGCGGTGCCTCTCTGAATAGTTTTAATCCTCCAGGCCAAGTACCCAGTTCCACTCTCGCCATCATAATAATGCTCCTTGAAGGATGAAAGGATAACAAAAATGGATACTTCATTGAAAACAACATGGTCTGGTAGGATTCAAAAACTTCCAATAGCATTTAACATTACAACTATTACTGTGTGCAACTCACATAGAGAATGGGTCACTGAGGTACGGGAATAAGGTCACTATTCCTTTGGCATACATTTCTTTCACCTGTCTGGGTGGAGATGTACTGCAAAATTGAAGAAGAAAGGATTGTGCAGTCATATTCACTTAGATTCAGATTTAGATTTACAGATTGAGAACACAAGGACTATTAACAAATTACCCATTCTTTTCTGTCATGTCAGCTGCCAGCATGTTCACCATTTTGCGTCTTGTTTCATCCGTCAAGGACTTGGTTCGGTTGTATTCATTTATTATACGTTCCCCACCGGTTTTGTTGGTAAGAGCTGATTCCACCAACTTAAAACAAAATGCATAACAATTCTGCATGTTATGTCCACTGCAAATAAACTGGAAATAAACTAATATGATGTCAGAGGATGTCCCGATCCAATCTCAAAGATTGCAAGTGCTACAAAAATCCAATGAAAAAGCCAATAATGGTAAGAAACTCCCTCCAGACAGCGACAATAACTTGAATGTACTCGAAGTGTGCACTGTATTATCAATAAATAAATAAAAGTATCTGATCAGGACTCAATATCAGCAGATACTTTTTTTAATCGGATAGGGCGCTTAAAAAAACTTGATCGGGACATCCCTAATCAGGACTTCAAAAATGTTTTGAAACCATGTAATTTACAATGTATATTAATGTAATTTTAATTCTCTGAGAACAGATTCAAGAACAGAATTTAAAATGTCAGAATTGTCTTACTTGCTTGCCTTCTGTATCCAGCCTCTGGCGTTTTCTGGAGGGGCTATCTGAAATAATGACTGTATCCTCAGAGTCCAAGGTATCAAGGGATGATGGTTGGGATTGCTCAGAAGAGGCCACCATGGAGACAGATTCTAACCATGATTTTTAGAAGAAAAAGAATTATATATAGTTCCCTCATAATCTAAGACACTTATTTAATAGACACCATGAACTTCATAAAACAAAGAAATAACGTATTCATTAATTAGTCTAATTAACTGAAACAAACCTGAGTCATATTTGATGGTTAGCACCCCAGTTGAGGGATCCTTTATAATATCCTCAAAAACATCATCATCCAATTCAGTCCCTGAACTGTCAACAATTTTCACACCTTCTGTTACAGCTGGGACACCAAACTTTGCAAATGCTAGAAAAAACAGGGATAAAAGCTTGTGTAAACAAAAGTAAATCATTATTTATATAATAATTTCACTGTGTACACCTACCTTACCCTATAAAATAGGTTTTAAACAAACACTATTAAGTGATTAAAATGTTTTTTTTTGTAGCATCATAACTATACCTTAAGCAATGCATCCACAATTAAAGTGTAGTTACCAAGGGCAAAACAGAAGAAATTTAGACGTACAAAAATGGACCAGTTCCAAAAACCTGAGAACTTAACATGTCCCATCATTTTAGGAATATTCCAGTATATCAATTTTAAACAGCTAAATTCAGACAGTTATTACTAACATTGTCAAATTCTTACCTGCAATCAAAAAGTCTTTCAGATTTGGCTCAGTTATTCTGACAAATTTTTGGACATCTCCAAGTTTAGCTTTAAGCAGCATGCTCCCTGCAAATAGTATCAGTACAATTTCTCACAGTTAAAAAGTTGATGGTCTTATTTTAGCAGTATTTCCTCAAATATAAGAAAAAATATTGTTTCAAGCCACCAAAGTGCTGAGAAATGATCAGCACTTTTGCAGAAATGGCCAGTTAAATTGAAGTTACTGTCAAACACATTAAAAAGGATAACGTCTGATTTTCATCCTTGTAACATTAATGTTACCGCCTTGCCCGCACAATTACTGCAATTGTTGGGTCTTGGTATATTATAGAGTGTGGTCTAGACCTACTCTGTCTGTAAAGTGTCTTGAGATAACTCTTGTTATGATTTGACAATATAAATAACATTGAATTGAATAATGTTAGCTAAACGTTACACCATAAGTGTGTGCTAAGATAGTGCTTAAGTATTTTAACAGTACTGCTGCTGCTTTGAAACCCGAAAGTCATTTTGTATAATATCCAGGAAAAAAATAAAGGCACACCGCTTAAGCAGTGTCCAAGGTTAATGTCTACCCGCCGTTAACATAATAAATCCATGCCACCCGCACATAGTTAGCCAGTCAAGCTAACGTAGCTAACTGTAGCTAGTTTAGCCAACTCCCCTTAGTCTTTGCTATGTTCCTGTAATATCTGAACGTTAACAAGAAGTACACAATCCCCCCTCCACGTTGTATTAACATAACTTACAATAAATCGGGCTGACATTGTCTAGTTTGAACGTTATGTTCGTCAGTTAATGTTAATTAACGTTAGCTTAATACTGCTGGCACATGGACTGGACAGAAGTCAGTCACAACATGTTAACGTTAGCCTTTTTAAAATTCGACATTTTAAGACCTAAAACCAACTAGAGTGCACTGTTAGCAACGATATAAAGTAATTCTTAAATGCTGCTTCTGTTAAAATGACAAATAATGTGTGTATAGTCGCTTAGGAGAAACTTACCGCAGTCATTCCACATGAAGAAAATGGCGCCGTGAAAATGTGTGGTCCGTTTGAGACGAGTCGTAGGTGGGCGGAGCTTTCCAGAGTACGTCTGACACTGCGTCTTTTAACAACGTACTTTTTCACCAACACTGGGCGGTATCTTACTCCAACTGTTGTAGTAATAACTCTGTAAGAGTCAATGTACTTTGACACTGCATATTTAACACTATGGAATTTACTGTGTATGAAACACACTGAGGGGGACAGTACTGGCGATGCGCTGACTCTCGTGGGTCACTGCCTGAGTGTAAGGCATCCTGTGTCTGTCCTCAAAAGATGCGTGTTCTTTCCCCTCCAGAACTGTGTCAATTTCCTGCTGACACCTCTCTGAGAAGACCAAAGGGAAGGGATGTTGGCAAAAAAGGGCTGAATTCAAAAGGGCTTATCAACATTGCCTGACACCTTTTTTCTTGAGGAATAATCTACAACTGCTACAACTGTAGTAGTAGAAAGATACTTTTTCAATGTCAGCATTAGAAAATAAAGCAAACAGACCCTGAATCTCTGGGTGGGTCATGAGGTATAGAAAAGCAGTGAGCAGTGTGTTGGAGGTGGTGTCTGTTCCAGCAAAGTGCAAGTCCAGGATGTACATTATGAGTTGGGCCTCTGAAAAAGAAGATCCATCATCTCCTCTCTAGTGGGGAGAGTACAGCAGTGTCAGACTAAAACTGTGATGATTTTGAAGGCACTGTACTAACTAGTCATAATGATAGATGATGTGGTCTAACCCTCTCATCTAAACACTTAAACTCCCATAAACAAAATGAACACACTTTTTCTAGTTCATCCAGGTAGCAGTCAATGAAGTCCCTTGGCTCCCCAGGAATCCTGGTTTCCTTATGCTGAGTGACTAGTCCAAGAGACATCTGTTTGCAACAAATTGCATTTTGAAAGGCCTTCTGGAATGGCAAGGGAAGGTGTCGGAGCATGGGCACTGTGTCATAAAGCTGTGGAGAAAGACCAAGTAATGAGTCAGAACTACTATTGAACCAACCATTCGTTATGCTTCCATTAACTTGTCCAATGATTTTTTTGTCGAGATTTGGAAAGTTCGCATAACAAAAAATAGATGTGACAATTGCCTGCTAGGGTGCGTTTCCATTTAACTATCTTGTGTTGATGAAAACAGCTGGACGTAATGACGTCACACCAACAACAACAAATATATACAGTGTCTAATAAAAATTTAGTGGTTGAAGTTTCCATTACCCATTTAGGCAAATTGCGCATTAATAAATTGCCAACAGCCTGTAAGAACTCCCACCTTTCTATTTCATGTCTCAGTTAGCCCACGAAAGCCAGCATGGATAATAATTATCATGTGCCAACGTATCGCCATGGTCCGTGCCATGGTGAAACTTGCACTCCTGTTGATCTGAAATAATTGGATGGTGAATCTTGCCAGCTAACCAGAAAAGCAAGGCGAAGCAATTCAGGCATTCTTGAAAGTCAGGACAATTCTTGTCCTGCAAATAAACATTATTTGTATATTTGAAAAAAAATATTTTGCAAGACGTAGGCATTTAGAATTAAATGTGAAGTGGAGCTTTAGTTTTATTATAAAAACACCATTTCCATCATAATTTGTCGCAATATATAAAGTTAGACAAAATAAAAATCCACCTGTCGAATGGTAAAAATGTTGTGGATCTTTAGAAAATGTCTCATATCTGCCATTTCCATTACACGCCACAATGATTTTTTGTGCCACATTGCTTTTTTAGAATAAATCTGGGTCAATGGAAACCTGCCTAATGATCTACCATCCATATCTGCTTTCAAACCAAAAGGTGTGATTTACAGGAAGCAATGTAATTAACATTGTTCTATGCTGTTTTATGTAAGTATACAGTTACCAAAAAGCTGTAATTATGTATAATACCATAGCCCAGGGTCCATTGGCGATCTTTGCGTTCTCAGTGTAGAGCTTCACGAAGGTCTTAAGAAACTCATCGTTATAGTCATAACGTGACCCAAAGAGGACAAGGCAGATGATATTGGATGCAGCATTGTGGAAGAGAACCTGAGGGTTCATGGATTTTCCTGTGGAAAAATAACAATATTACTTTGATAAGAGATTTCTTTGTTCTCTTTAACGTTGAGCAAGAGGGTCATCTGTATAAGGACATCTGTTAAATGGCTATGTTACGTTCCTACAAAACAAAACACAATTTTCTATGTTCCACTTTCGTACCAACGCTTTTCGCCAAGGGTGCAATGATGTGTGATATCTCCCCCAGAATCCTCTCCTCCATGGACTGCTTCCCCAGACCAAAGTTTTTCAGGGTCATTAGGGCGAAGCGACGATGCTCTTTCCAGCTAGAGCCATAGTCCATAAGAATGACACCTGGGATAGTTTATTACAATTGGTCAGTATTTATTGACATATCAATCAAATGATAGTTACGTTCTTAAGTGGAAAAAACAGGAATATAAAGAAAAGGTTGTTTCAGAACAGAGCTCTTCACAGTAATAGATTGAAGTGTTTTCTTGTTGATATCAATAATGTCCTGTACTGTATATTTGGATATTATTACCTTTTCCTTCTGTGACGTGGTTGACCATAAGGTCTTGGGGTCTTCCTGCAAAATCTGCAGCCCTGGTAACCAGGGCCTCCTTCATAGCTTCAAGCCCATTGAGAATCACAGCTGGCCTTCCACCAATATAAAGACTGAAAACATTCCCATAGCGCTTTGCCAACTACGGAAATGAACATATTAAAGGATTGGCTCACTATTTTTAAACCAAATCTTTATTTTTGATGTAAATGGCATGTTATAGAAGGGTCCAGACACTTTTTTAGTAATTTCATTTGGTTTTGAGAAACTATCCCCACCTGCAATAGACCTTCGTCATTGCTCGTTCTGCAGTATGGGAGCTATGGGAAAACATGAACTGTGAATTGCGTAATTCCGAACTTTATCCACAACGTTATATTCCATTTGTGCGACTCAGCTGCTTCACTATACTGAGAGCTTTGTCGTTTCTAAAAGGACGTATTTGGGTGATTTTGGAGCCTTTGTTAATGTTTTCCATAGCCCCCATACTGCAGAATGAGCAATGAGTTAGTCTATTTTGGGTGTGGATAGTTTCTCAAAACCAAGTGAAATAGCAAAAAAATAAAAGTGTCTGGACCCTTCTATAACATGCCATTTACATAACAAATAGAGATTTGGTTTTAAAAAATTGTGAACCAACACTTTAAGTATATTGAAGGTGCATAGTGTTGCAGTTGCATAGTGCACCTTTAAAGGCTATTTTCCTAATGGAATTGTTGAATTGAGTAAAACTGATCCAATCAGCAATGTATGGCCTTGAGATTACAGGCAACATAAACTGCATACACAGCCCCACTTATTACGCAATTATAGACCTATGTGCAAAGGTTGCTTTGATAAAACTATTTGATAGATGTTATATTCATATTGCAAAAAGGAATTATGGATTTCATCTGAAACATCCAAGTAATGCTTATTGATTCTTCATGAGAGCTAAAATAGCATAATAGAGTTTTATACAAGGCTTACCTTCTCCAGGTCTTTCATAGGATTCCCCAAGCTCAGATGCAGCAGATTCCCAAATATTGGAATGGGTTGTGGACCAGGAGGAAAGTTTTGGGGTCTATTAAACTTCAGGAAGAAGAATAAGAGGAGACAGATACATATCCACAGCAGAACGAACGAGCCCAACATACTTGTTGTTCAGTTCCAACTACTGCAGTGACCGCACTTTGCTCTACTCTTCTCCAAAGCTATATAGACATGCGCGTACACGCATGCGCGTCGGCGTCCGAAGTATACACATACATTTGCACCAAAAACAAGTTTTGTTGTATAGACTTCTCTATTTCTCACACAGTCATTGACACTAACTAGGTTTCCATCCAATTGTCGACAGATTTTCATGCAAATATTTTAAAATATGCACATTTTCCCACCAGTGGTGTTTCCACCCAATGGATTTGTTGCAGATAAAAATCAGTGCGTGATGACGTGGTGCACACAACATTTACTTTTTCGCTTAAGTTTTCATGTACCGAATACAAATCTAAAGTTCAATCTGTTTCCATCACATTTTCAACTCTACCGATAGTTGTCACAAAAACCGTTATGTTGAATAGCAAATGTGCCTACTCTGGTCTTGGCACCTGCGCTCTAGCCAACAGTTTGCAGATAGAGTGCAGGTAGGCTAGTCTACATGATGAGATTATTATGGATAATAGCGAGAATCTTTTTATTTGTCAAACGGCAGTCAAGCATCAATCATCATGTCACCAGAATAAGACCATCGATATTTATTGGAAAAGGAGCATCAAGATCACCTTACACTTTCACCACCCTGTGAAGTTTATCATAATTTATTAACCTAATAAACCACATGGTGATGGGTTTTATTTTTTAATTGGATTTGTATGTGATGAATAGCTTGGAAGGAATGCATTAATGAGGAGCACTGTACTGATATGGATTGTTTCACATAACAGGCTGATAAGAACACTCTCTCTTCGTTGTCTGTGAAACTGTCCTTGAACCTGGCTACAGTGGATTTTGTGTATTCTCGGTGCTGACTCCGCAGGTTATTATCATAGCAACTATGCCTTGTAACAAATGGAACGGATTGGCTGAAATGGAGTCTGGACCACACTCAGTCCTTTGCTCTGGTTGGCCAACAGAAGAAGTGGAGGATTTCTGTCAGAGTATTTTAAGAAGAACTTAGAACAATGGATTAGTTAACTGAGTGCCCTGCGTGGTATTTCAGTGGACCCGTATATACGAACCTTCATACTTATCATACATACATTTTGCATATAATAAATTTAGCTTGGATTGAATATCTCTTGATTATGTTTTCTCTTATTCCAATACCAGATTTGAATTACGCAATTTCTAACAATTGGTGACCTCCGACTGTGATCTGGTAGCGGAACTTCACTTCGCTGGAATTCACCCAGCCTATTGGACATCACTGTCATCGAACCGTGTTTCACAAATTGCCCCGGGCTTCTATAAAGGTAAGCAAAAACACCTATTGTAATATAACTGAAGTTTTGCACATTGGCTTTATCCAAATTAATTTTGTGAAGCACCTGTTTGATGTAAGTGAACCCTATTCTACTATAAATAACAATTACAGTATACTATTTCGATTTCATAATATACTATGCAAATGTTTGATAATTGTGATGGTTAAACCCATGGGAGTGTGACGCTATGACTGAGGCTCATAGGAGGCACTTTAAAGTAGATTAGACAGTGCGACGCTATGACTAAGGCTCATAGGAGGTACTTTAAAATAGAGGTACTTTAAAGTAGATTAGACAGTGCGACGCTATGACTAAGGCTCATAGGAGGTACTTTAAAATAGATTAGACAGTGCGACGCTATGACTGAAGGCTCATAGGAGGTACTTTAAAATAGATTAGACAGTGCGACGCTATGACTGAAGGCTCATAGGAGGTACTTTAAAATAGATTAGACAGTGCGACGCTATGACTGAAGGCTCATAGGAGGTACTTTAAAATAGATTAGATAGTGCGACGCTATGACTGAAGGCTCATAGGGGGTACTTTAAAAGTTAGACAGTGCGAGTGTGGTCTTATGAATGAGAGTGTGAATGACAAGCCTGTATATTTTGTTAGAAAACGAATTGGAAGTTAAAACGTCTGTGGCTGTCCAAACTGTGTAATTTGGGGATAACTGTTGGGTTCGTGATTGTTTAAACCATATAACCCATCAATAACAATTGGGAACATAAAGCTAAAGTGATTAATTGTGTGACTGAACTGGTTTTGAATAGTTGTGTTGAAACAATTTGGTTTATTATTTGATTCAGTGTTTGATGTTTGACATAGCATAATACTGGTTTTAGGTGCTTGGGTTGAGGCTTCTTTTTTGTTGATTATTTGATGTAATGTTTGACCCTGCAAAATACTGGTTAAACAATTAGACTGAAATAATTCGGTTTATCATTTAAATATAAACATGCACCAACTTTAACTAATTAGGTGGGAATAATTTGATTTAAATAACTAGATGAAAGTACTTTAAATAACCACAGAATATTGGAAACACTAACACAGCTCCTCGAAGGAACCTGCTCCCAGAGGAGAGAGAGAGAGAGTTGCGAGGGGAGGGGCTGGAGACAGCGAGAGTGTGGCTTTTGAAGAGTCAGGAGAGAGAGAGAAGGGGGGTGATTTAGATTGATACAAACAATTATTGATGGGTTAGGACTGGGGATATCTGTATCATTTATATTTGCATTTTTGGTTATTTAGTTAAATAAAGTGGTCTAATGGTATTACAATTACCAATTTGCGTTATAAACTAAAAATATTAGACCATTAACATTGAAAGCACTTTTTATACAAAATATTGGAGTCAGTAAGGTTTTAAATTACAATTAAGAATAAATAATAAAGTTCTTAAAACAAAAGTATAGATACAACAACATTGGCAAAAATGACAGATAAAGTAATTAAAGTGTTGAAATCCACCCTCGAGATAAATGGGGGAAAAGACGGGAAGGAATGGAAGAGGAGAGGAGAAAAGTTATACAAAGAATGGATAGCAGATGGATGGATAATGGCAATGAATGGAATCCCAGGGGAAGGAGAACCGAGGACAATACTGACGGCCCTGAAGAAGAGAACAGAGAAGGCAGTAAGTGAGTGGAAAGAGGAAGGAGAGCCCCTCAAAGGGAAGTCCAAAGACGCGATGGAGAAAGCCAAGTTAAAGGAGCGGATTGGTTTGGCTATGTTGGAGAAACTAAAGAAAATGTGGGAAGACAAAGCACCACCCAAGATAACAAATCGGTTGTATCCAGCCCTGCCATCGGCCCCACCACCGTATGAAAACCCTCCAAAAACAATGGCACCAGTGTTGGAACTGACTGGGCAGGTACAGTATCAGCAGAAAGACGGCGTGCTGCAGGACACATGGGTGGGTGAAGAAGAGGTGAATAGACGAAGAGGTGATATCGAACAGATGTTGAAAACTGCACGAGAACTGAAAGAACAGATTTCTCAGCTGAGTAGACTGGATAAAGAGGAAGAAGACTCAGAGAGAAGTACAGAGTACCGGGACTTGTGTCGAACCGGAGCAAGTGAGAGAGAGAATGAGGAAATAGGAGGTAGAAGCACAGCCAGTTCAACCATTTATGACAACAATGCCGAATTAAAAAAGGAACTGAAAGTACTGGAAAAGCAGGTGAGAGAAGACAGAAAGGAGCTGGCACTCACATCACTGCAAAGAACATCAGAGCCAAGGGGGGGCCATTGTATTGATTTGGGAGAAGAAGAGGAAGAGTATGAAGACGTAAAGCAGACAAAAATGCTCTATGGAGCTTTTCAAGGAGATATTTGGGATGAGGAAGGGCCTGCACAACGCACACGGGCCAAAACTCAAGGGAGAGGGGGTAACTGTGGGGATCAGTATCCTCTGAGAGAAACAACAGTGGGAGCTTCAGTATACAAACCCTGGCCACACAGGGATGTGCAAACTCTGGTTGACAGTTTACCCCAGCCTGAAGAATCAGGACACAGGTGGGTGAAGGCTTTTGAGAGCCTTACTGCAGCAGATGAACTCACCATAGGGGATATGGTGGCAGTGATGAACAGGTGCATGGGAGATCATGAATGCAAAGAGATACTCACACAAGCAGGCCTGAGAGGAATAGTAGGAGCAGCAACTGGTTTTGATCGATACCGAACTGTCATATGGGATGCAGTTAGAAGGAAGTATCCCACTCAGGCAAGGCCAGATCTCATGAGAACACTGACGCTGAATGATGATGAAACCATACCAGCCTACATGAAGAGGGCAAAGTGCCTCTGGAGACAAGCATGGAATGAAGAGCCCACCAAAAATACAATGAGTCACCTCTTCCTGGCAAACTGCCTGGGGGGACTCCCAGACCAGGCCCGGGTAGAGTGTGAAAAGGTTGTGGCACTCACAGCAAAATCCATCCCAGAGTTCACAGAGATAGCCCAACATCATGTGGAGCGATGGAGGGAAGGCAAGAGGAAGGAGGAAGACGAACTAAAGCAGCTACAGAAGAATGTTTTGAAAAAACCACTGGCTGAAGACAAACCAGGCAAACAGATGGTTCTGACCAGTACCCCGAATCCACAGGGTGTGCCAGGTATTGATCCAGCTGCAGCCGCGGCTGCTGCAGTAGTACAGGCAATGGCTGGGATGATGGCACCCCGGATGATGGCTCCTGTGGGGCCAAATGGGTATTTCTCTGTCGGGATGTACACAGAACCAGACCCATCTCAACAGCCTGGCTATGCACCCCGCAGATACGCAGATAGAGGATGTTTTAATTGTGGGAAAGAAGGACACATGGCAAGATTTTGCCCACACTCACACCAGCTATCAAGACAACAAAAAGGAAGAGGGTATGGTGGACAGCAAAGAAGAGGAATGCAAAGGTTCCAACAGGGACGAGGAAGCTGGCAAGGAGGCCAACAATTTCCACCACCCCAGCAAAACCCTGGAGGAAACAATGGGCAGCCACAACCAGTGCCCAATGCGGCATTGCTACCAGGTATGTCATGGATGGGAATGCAACACCCCAACCAGGACCCCCAATGAAGCTGCCTAGAAACCCAATATAACCTCAACACCAACATCTACTCATTTCCACCAGGGTCAGAACCGGTAGTGTCATGTTTAATTGGAGGAAGAAAACATAATATGTTGATTGATACAGGATGCACATGGTCTTCTGTACAAGCATCATATCCACTCACTACCAAGACACAAGCTTTCTCTGGGGTTTCTGGGGCAATTATGAGAAAGCCATATACAGTTCCATTGGAAGTTGTATGGGATGACCTGCAAGTAACTCACCAGTTTCTCTACAATCCAGAGTGTTCGGTGGGGTTAATGGGAAGGGACTTGCTCTCCAAGCTGGGATGCAGCATCTATTGTAACCAAGAGGGACTGCATGCTTCTATCACACCTATTGATGAACTCATGCCAATACTCATGAAGGAACTCTCTGATCCCCCACGCATGCTGTACATGGGAACACACTCAGAAGAAGAGGAGGAGGAAGAAACATATGTGTATTGGCTGAAGTTAATGGATACTGACCCTGATGCTCCTAGAGTATGCAGAGAGTTCCAGCTATGGAAGGCATGGATACAGACTTTAAACGCATACTACCCTCCTGAGGACCCTCCACACGTCACAATGAACTACACCAGGGACCTGGATGAAGCATATGATGAAGCATGGGAAGAAGAAATGGAGGACAGACGACCAAGTGTGACAAGCAATCACATGTACATACTCAAAGAAGGAGTGGCAACCAGTTGCATGGTAATGGATGGAGATGTGGTACTGACAGACAAATGGTACGCACTTCCTGGTGACTCTGTGCCACATGTTACTCTCCTAGTAGGGTTTGGCTATGAGGCAAGATCATTGGGACCAGCAGTAAAGAAGGCAAGCTGCCTGCAGTGGAGCAAGAGCGCCTGTTATAAGATACAAAGCTCAGTCATGGATGGAAATCAGGTTTGGAGAATCTTACTAAACGTGGATGACATTGGAAAACCTGAAGTGGTGAGAAGATCTCGTTACCATGGAAGAGAAATGACTGACCATCCAGACACGGTCAACATCTTCAACCAGTTACCAGAACAACTGTGGACATTAACTGCAGAGGATGTGGGACTAGTTGATGTAGAACCAGTGGTGGTTTCAGTTAGAAAAGACAGTGGCCTTACTATTCCAGTTTGCAAGCGCCAATACCCACTCAGTGAAGAAAAGACAAGGGGAATTGAGCCTACAATATCAGGACTTCAAAAAGGGCAAGTAATATATCCAACCTGCTCCAACTGGAACACTCTAATTTTACCAGTAAAGAAAGGTGACACTGGAAAATGGAGGATGGTGCAGGACTTCAGACCAATCAACGAAGTAACTGTACCGGACGTTAGACCTGTACCAGACCCATATCTGGCCCTGCAAAACATCTCACCTACCCAAGACTGGTTTACAGTGGTGGACCTTGCTAATGCATTTTTCTGCATTCCGTTACACCCGGAGTCTCAACCACTATTTGCATTCACCTACAGAGGACAGCAATTCACCTATTCTCGTCTTCCACAAGGATATCGTGATTCCCCAGGAATCTTCAACGCTATCCTGAAAAGTCACTTGGAGGAGTTAACATTACCAGAAGGGGTGACACTGCTTCAATACGTTGATGATCTCCTGTTGGCAGCACCAACTGCTGAGTCTTGTTTGCAGGCCAGCAAGTCCCTTCTCCTCTTGGTAGCTAAGAAAGGGTACAAAGTGAAGAAAGAGAAAGTGCAGTGCTGTAGGAGAAGTGTACAGTTCCTGGGGAGAGTACTGTCAGGAAAGGGACAAGCTGTCTCTTCGGCCCAGAGGACATCAATCTTGGAACATCCCAAACCCACTACTGTACAACACCTTTTGTCATTTCTTGGCCTTACTGGATACAGCAGAACGCACGTGCCAGAATACTGTCTTAAGGTGGAACCACTGCGAGCAATCTTGAGAGAAGCAGGAAACAGAAACCTCACAGCTGTCCTTAAGTGGACTCCAGAGGCAGAGGCAGCTTTTATCCAACTCAAACAAACGCTAGCGCAGGCTGAAGCACTGTCTTTACCTGATTACACCACGCCATTCTGTTTGGATGTTTCTGAAAGGGATGGTTATGTGCATTCCATCCTGTATCAGAAACAAAAGGGGGAGAGAAGAATCTTACACTACTACAGTGCAAAACTGGACAACATTGAGACAGGACAAACTGACTGTGCCAGACACATGGCTGCCATTGCTAAAGCTGTAGGCAAAACAGCTCACATTGTAATGAGACATCCACTTGAAATCAACACAGACCATGGAGTGACAGCTTTTATTGGCTCTAAACTTTTCACGTTGTCCAGCAAAAGAAAATCCAACATAACAAAGGCCATCACTGCAAAACACATTACCTATGTGACGACCACAACCAACATGACTGATGGCATGGGTCAGGGAGAACCACATGTATGTGAAGACAGAGCAGCCAAACAAATCAAGGTTCGAATGGACCTACAGAACTCACCTCTGGACGGCAACAAGACCACCCTGTTCACAGATGGATGCTGCTATAGGTCAAAAGACCCAAAGGAAGGGAATGTTGCTGCCTATGCTGTGGTAAAGCAAGACAAGGAAGGAGAACACGAAGTTGTTGAAGCAAAAAGACTGAATCCCAATGAAAGTTCAGCACAACTAGCTGAACTTAGGGCATTGAGGAGAGCTCTACAACTAAGTGAAGGAAAGAATGTGGACATCTACACAGACTCTGCCTATGCACATGGGATTGCACACATTGATGGACCACAGTGGATGAGGAGAGGATTTGTGACCAGCTCAAATGAGCCCATCAAACACAAGGTTGAAGTACAGAAGTTAATTGATGCAATCCAGCTTCCCAAACGAGTGGCAATAATGAAGTGCAAAGGTCATAGCAGAGAAAGCACCAGAGTGCGTGAAGGAAATGATCGGGCTGATCAAGCAGCAAAGGATGCAGGAGGATACACTGCCCAGCAGATGGTGCAACGAGCCACTCAAGGACAGGAGGAGTTGACGACAGACACAGTAAGACAGTTGCAAGAAGCAGCAGGCGCCTACGAACAGAACGTATGGAGCAGACAGGGAGCAAGACAAGACCATCATGGGATTTGGAGATCTCACACAGGAAAAACAGTGGGACCTGCAAAACTCCTCAGATCAATCTTAAGGGAAGAGCATGAGAAGGCTCATGGAGGATGGAAAAGTGTCGCAAAATCAGTTGAGAAAGCATGGTGGAATCCACACATGTTGGACATGGCAAGAGAGACATCAGAGAGCTGTGAAGTGTGCAAACAATACAACAACAAAGTGTCACTTGGAGCAGTGATTGGCAGCTTCCCAATACCTGACGCGCCATTTCAAGACATTTGCATAGATTTCACGGACAGGACAACAGAGTGGAAGGAAAAAGATACCTGTTGGTAATGGTTGACAGATTCACCAGATGGGTGGAAGCCATCCCCACAGCAAGAGAAGATGCAAAGGCTGTGATTAAATGGCTGAGGAGGGACCTCATTCCAAGGTTCGGGGTCCCGCGAATGGTCCGTTCCGACAACGGTACACATTTCAAGAACAAACACCTGAGGGAGGTAGAGCAGGCCCTAGGAATCACCCACAAGTTCGGGTCAGTATACCACCCCCAATCGCAGGGACTCGTAGAGAGAGCTAACCAATCGCTGAAACGAAAAATGGCCAAAATCATGGCCGGAACTAAACTGAAGTGGGTAGATGCGCTGCCCCTAGCTCTAATGTCAATGAGAAAACTCACCTGGGTCTGACACCCATTTAACGCCCCATGAGCTTATGACAGGACGCAGAATGCCAGGGCCACCAGCAGACAATCTTAGTATGCCTAGGCTAGATATTGCAAAAATCAGATACACAGACTACATGCAAGCGCTAATTTCTCTTGTTGAAAGATTGTCTAAACAGGTGGTGGAAGTGCGCACTCCTGCTGTTGAAACCACGGACGAGAACAGAGACATCCTGGTGGGGGATTGGGTGAGAGTGAAGGTGCATTCCAGAAAGTGGACGGAGCCAAGGTGGGAAGGGCCCTTCCGGGTAAAAGAGGTATCAAGCCACTCGTTGCGGGTGAACACGAGCAAGAAAGACGTGTGGTACCACAGGACACACTGTGCCAAGGACATAGTTCCAGGAAGGACTCTAGATCAGGTACAACAGGACTTGGCAACAGAAGGGGAGTGATGATGATGTTGTGGTTAGGAGTGGGGCTCGCCTTATGGGGAACAGTGTTCTCAGCTCCCAATCAGTACCATAACATAGTCATTACCTTACAGGAAGGGGAATCTCAAGTGATGTCCCTAGAACCATGTAAGATCTGGTCATGGAGGAATAGGGCTAGTGGAATTGGGGACACTGGTTGCAATTGGAACCAGAAGGGAAACTGTAACAAAATGAATCCCCATGTGTTAAAGAGAGGTACTTATCTGTGTGAGGGAAAGTGGTGTCCATATTGGGACTATATGATCACAAATGTTGGCACCTTCTGGGAATGGCGTAGAGGCTATCCGTATGCATTAGGAGATGCTTCTAAAGCAGCTAGGTTTTCAATGATAAGGGGTGTACAGGGGTCAAAAGGGGGTGCATGTAAAGGTGATGAAATCCTACTAACCATTCAAGACATTAAACTTACAGACGCAGGTGTGTACACCTTAGCAGCAGTACGATCCGGACCAGACACCATGGGTATGTTCACCATCGCAGTCACACCCAAACCTGCAGCTGGGGAGAGACAGACCCAGTTGGACCACACCCCCGCTCCAGGACCAGCTCAACTTCAACCCACTAGGGTACCAAACCCTGTTCAGGTGATTAATGTTAGGGATATAACGGACAGCGACCAATTGGGGACAGAAACTGGCTATGAAGGGAAAGAAAATATGTGGTTGGCCTACATGAGGTATACGGCTAGGACACTGGCCAGGCAGAATTGTGTTATCTGTGGGCATGCAAGACCTGGGTTGGCAACCCACCCATTCGCTTTAGGAGAAGGGGAAGGATGGCAGTGCATATTGGAAGAGTTCTACCATTCACTGCCAAACACCACCCTGTGCAAAGCCCTAAGTTTGATTTTCCCTGAGGTTCCCCCACAAAAGGCACCTGAGGGAGTTCAGGCTTATGGAGGTAATTACAGTTGCATTACTGGAACAGGTAAGGGTGTTAACTATGGTAGGCTACCACCCGGGGATTGTGCTGTGAATGTAACCATGAACAGCACTTGGCCAATAGAGGGTAAAACCCAGACAAAAGGGGTGGCTGATGTGTGGTGGATCTGTGGACCAAATAGAAAACTAACCCCGATTCTAAAGGGGGACTGGCAGGGCACGTGTGCATTAGCTAGTTTAATTATACCACTGACCATTATTGATGTTTCCTCAGACCAACTTTTGGGGATTGCCCAGCTAACCCCAGACAGAGAGAGAATGAGGCGGGGGAGACGTAGTGCCCCATGGTCAACAGAAGAGGAGATCCACTCTAACCTGTTGGGGGTGCCTGTGGGAGTACCATTACAGTTCCAGGCACTCAACAGGAACGATGGGTTGTGGCATCTGTTGCCAATCATAGGTCCTGCCATAGATGCTGCTAAACAGCGATCTTGGATAAATTACATATATTATAACCAACAGCGATTTGTTAACTACACACGCACTGCCCTGACTGGAATGTCCGAACAACTAGAGGCCACCTCTAGGGTGGCTAGGCAAAATAGACTAGCACTTGACATGTTGCTTGCTAACCAAGGGGGTGTTTGTAAGATGTTTGGGGAACAATGCTGTACGTTTATTCCTAACAATACTAGCCCTGACGGGAGCATAACAAAGGCCCTTGTTGGCCTGGAGAAGTTGTCAGCAGAAATGGAGAGCATGGCTGGAGTGGGGAGTGGTGGGCTGTTCTCCTGGCTGAGTGACTGGTTTGGTGAGTACTCTTCTATGGTGGTTACTGGATTTCTGACCCTAATAATTGTGTTTTTGCTGTTAATGTGTTGTGCTGCTTGCATCGTCCCCTGTCTCAGGAGGTCAGTGGTAGGAGCGGTGCAGGCGTCAGGTATGATGCTGTTGTTACCGGCCCAGGATGATGCGGGTGACTCTGCTACTGACTCTGAGACCAAGCTGGATGATCCATGGTTTGCCTAGTAAAATACATACACGCATTTATTTTCAGTTCTTGCTCATTTATTACCTTATGTTTTTACTAACCACTGTGATTGTTTATTCTTCCTGATGTGAAGGTAAAGGATTCCTGGGTGGCTGGTAGCCAACTCAGTACATGTTAGGTGTAGGGGAGGAATAGAGGGTTAAAATTATTATTTTTAATTTTTTATTAACATTAAATGTTGTGATTTAATTTCCATATCCTGTTATTCTTAAGGGTGATTATACTCTGTTTAGAGTGACACCATAAATGGTGTCAAAAGAGGGAATTCTAAAATGTCCCTTTAAAAATCTTTAATCACACCCTAGAGTTTTAATAATCTTGTGTTTTGTGTTCACTCTAGGGATAATCCTGTGTTTTATGCTTTATTAATCAAGTTAACCATGTGAATGTTTGTCTTTCCTTATGTGAAGGTTTGAACTTCTTTGATGACTGGTAACAGTTTGCAAGTTGGGTGTAGATTGAAGGATTTTTATTAAAAAATTGTCTATTAATAAAAGTGTTTATTTTTGTTTGTATTGTATTTTAATGAGTGACACCCTAGAGGGCGTCAAAAGGGGGAATTGATGGGTTTTATTTTTTAATTGGATTTGTATGTGATGAATAGCTTGGAAGGAATGCATTAATGAGGAGCACTGTACTGATATGGATTGTTTCACATAACAGGCTGATAAGAACACTCTCTCTTCGTTGTCTGTGAAACTGTCCTTGAACCTGGCTACAGTGGATTTTGTGTATTCTCGGTGCTGACTCCGCAGGTTATTATCATAGCAACTATGCCTTGTAACAAATGGAACGGATTGGCTGAAATGGAGTCTGGACCACACTCAGTCCTTTGCTCTGGTTGGCCAACAGAAGAAGTGGAGGATTTCTGTCAGAGTATTTTAATAAGAACTTAGAACAATGGATTAGTTAACTGAGTGCCCTGCGTGGTATTTCAGTGGACCCGTATATACGAACCTTCATACTTATCATACATACATTTTGCATATAATAAATTTAGCTTGGATTGAATATCTCTTGATTATGTTTTCTCTTATTCCAATACCAGATTTGAATTACGCAATTTCTAACAATGGTTTCCAGAGTCATAGTGGGAGGACCACACACCATATTATCGCGACTCCAAGTCTAAAAGAAATTGGAGATAATGTCTAGATACTTTTGACTATGGAGATCAAGTTTATAAATTGTCTGGCTGGGCTGATGAAACATTGGATTGCGCAGTGAGATGGAACAGAGTAAATAGGCATTTCAATTTGTGGAATAGACACCGGCTGGAATGCGGACCCCCACCCTTTGTATAATATATCAATATTTGCGCATAAAGGCATAGAACTATGGTCTAATTTATCAGCTGTGGTGAGGTAATATTAAATATTGCAAAATGTTTTAATAGAAACAGTTGACTTTCTTGTCAAGTACATCAATTACATTTTACAGTGTAGATTTTTCAAAGTAGCTAATCTTTTGCAGACGGCCCCTTGGCTTCAGTTTCACTAACCAATTAAACCAACCATCCCACCATACCTCGCGTGTGCAACGGCTTCTGACTTTATGCTCATTTAAATATTTTGTAGGCCTGTTCTGGATTAATAGGTCAAGAATCTGGACCGGACAATATTGGATTCTCCTACCATTACCGTGCAAAGCAGTTTATATAGTCAAACAAAGCACAGCGAGTGAAAGGGGCTACCTGCTGTAGCTAGCTAATGTTGTGCTCAGTCTCCTCCTGTACTCCCTGTTCACTCATGACTGCATGGCCAGGCACGACTCCATCACCATCATTAAGTTTGCCGATGACACAACAGTGGTAGGCCTGATCACCGACAACGACGAGACAGCCTATAGGGAGGAGGTCAGAGACCTGGCCATGTGGTGCCAGGACAACAACCTCTCCCGCAACGTGATCAAGACAAAGGAGATGATTGTGGACTACAGGAAAAAGAAGAGGACCGAGCACACCCCCATTCTCATCGACAGGGCTGTAGTGGAGCAGTTTGAGAGCTTCAAGTTCCTTGGTGTCCACATCACCAACAAACTAACATGGTCCAAGCACATCAAGACAGTCGTGAAGAGGGCACGACAAAACCTATTCCCCCTAAGGAGACTGAAAGATTTGGCATGGGTCCTCAGATCCTCAAAAGGTTCTACAGCTGCACTATCGAGAGCATCCTGCCATCCAGGACCTCTATACCAGGCGGTGTCAGAGGAAGGCCCTAAAAATTGTCAAAGACTCCAGCCACCGTAGTCATAGACTGTTCTCTCTGCTACCGCACGGCAAGCAGTACTTTGTGGCAACAGTTTGGGGAAGGCCCTTTCCTGTTTCAGCATGACAATGGCCCCGTGCACAAAGCGAGGTCCATACAGAAATTGTTTGTCAAGATCGGTGTGGAAGAACTTGACTGGCCTGCACAGAGCCCTGACCTCAACCCCATTGAACACCTTTGGGGTGAATTGGAACACCGACTGTGAGCCAGGCCTAATTGCCCAACATCAGTGCCCATCGTCATTAATGCTCTTGTGGCAGAATGGACGCAAGTCCCCGCAGCAATGTTCCAAAATCTAGTGGAAAGCTTTCCCAGAAGAATGGAGGCTGTTATAGCAGCAAAGGGGGGACCAACTCCATGTTAATGCCCATGATTTTGGAATGAGATGTTCGACGAGCATGCGTCCACATACTTTTGGACAACTACACTCACTTAAGAAAATGTTTCCCTACAAATTACAAATTAAAACACATCTGTGTGTCAAACACACATATAAAACAAATGATTACTAAAAGTTTAGATAGCTGGATAGACTAACTACCAATCTGTCACGCCCTGACTTATGGGACTCTTGTATGTTGAGTCAGGGTGTGGAGATCTATGTTATTATTTCTATGTTCACATTCTAGTTATTGTGGTTCTATGTTTGGCCGGGTGTGATTCCCAATCAGAGGCAGCTGTCGCTCGTTGTCTCTGATTGGGGATCATACTTAAGTAGCCTGTTTGCAATCCTTAGTTGTCGGATCTTGTTCCGTGTATAGG